TCATGCATACTAGATATTACATACTAGTTATCACTGAGCTAAACCGTGGCCTTATTTTTTTAATGCTTCCTTTAAAGGAAAATAGAAGAAAAGCTCAAAATTATTGACCTGCAAACTGAGAAGTTAGAAAAGAAGAATGGCAGATAACACTCAAAAAAAAGTGAAAATAAAGAAGAAACAGGGAAGGAGAAATCAATGTGGTAAAATGCAGTCCTACATTTCATGGTATGGTAGAAGACAAAGTGCTTTCTGAAAAACCTAAGGAAACCATCACTCTTCTGAAATTAATCCATACCAAAGGGAGAAAAGACACAGGTAACACTAATAGGAAAAAATGGGGAATATAACTCTAGCTAAAACAGATTTTACGAAAAGGATACTATGGCCAACAGCATGCCAGTTAATCTGAAAATTTAAATAGGTGCAAATTCCTAGCAAAATGCAATCTGCAACATGTGACTCAATACAGCATGGAAAACAGTATATGAATAATAACACATTCACAAGAAGACAAGTCATCCCAACCAATGCAGGAAATGTCATTGATGAAATTAAACATTCATTCATTTAATGAACTTTTTAATTATATTATTGTTAAGTAGTTTTCCAAAGGGGTTTCAATTCAATATGTCAGTTTATGAGTACAATGCAATTTGATCCATGTCACTCTTATCAGTCTCCTCCATCTCTCCCAACACCACCCACCCCTCAATTTTCCTAGTTTCACTTTCACATGTTGAATATTATAACTACTTTCTCCTACCCTTCCTCCCTTCATTTGTTCATCTTCTATCCCCCACTTGCCCTCACCCATACTAAATATTGATTTTATTAGACTGTAAGTTAATTGTTCAAAGGAGTTACACTTTTGGAAATCTCTCCTGAATATATACCATAGTTTAGTTAGTACATTTGTAATGCAGAAACCTTAGGCAACTAGGAATAAAAGGCATCTACAAAATCCCAACAGAAGGGGTTAGGAATGTAGCTTAGTGGTAGAGTGCTTGCCTAGCATTCAAGAAGCCCTGTGTCAATTCCTCAGTACCACATACACAGAAAAGCCGGAAGTGGTGCTGTGGCTCAAGTGGTAGAGTGCTAGCCTTGAGCAAAGAAACTCAGGGACAGTGCCCAGACCCTGAGGTCTGGCCCCAGGACTGGGAAAAACAAAACAAAACAAAACAAAAAACCCACCCAGAAACAAAACTAAGAGGCAAGAGGTGAAGTCTTCTCTCTAATGCCAGGATATGAACTCACCACCCTTCTTTCTTACCCTGTCTGCATTTCTTGGCTTGTGCAGTATATTGAGGAAAAGAAAGGCATAAGAATAAGAAGTATTTAAATAAGCCAATCTGTCATTATCCATAAATGGCACAAAATTATTTGAAACTTAGCTTTCCAAATATAAAATCATTACCCCAGATGCAGTTACATTTCTTCATATCAACAACCATCATTTAGAAATTTTTTTGGTAATATGTCGTGATACTTGCCTGTAATCCCAGTATTTGGGAGGCTGAGGTAGGATTGTCAGTTCTAGATTAGCCTGAGCTACATAGTGAGACTCTGCTCAAACACCAAAAAAAAAAAAAAAAAAGAGAACAACTTTTAAAAAATAAAATGATAACAACATATATAAAGTACCTAGGAGCTGGACACGATAATCCTAGCCACTAGACTGATATCTGAGGGTACTGGTTCAAAGCCAGTCTGGGAAGGAAGGCTGTGAGACTCTTTCCTTCAGTAAACCTGCAAAGAGACAGACTTGGAGGTATGGCTCAAGTGGTTTAGTGCCAATTTTCAGTGGAAAAGCCAAACAAGAGTGAGAGACCCTGAATTCCATCAAGCCTCAGAACCGACATTTAAAAAAAGCACCTAGAAATGTACATGTCAAAATCTGGACATGTTTGTCATGGAAATTTATTGAAAGACATTGGAGATTACTAATTAAATAACATATCCTAGGGATTGTGGGGATTATGGTTGAAGCAGTAGACTGCCTGCCTAGCAAGCCTGAGGTGAAAGCCTGAGTTGAAACCCAGAGTTAACCCCTAGTATCATAAATAAATTAATACAATTTAAAAGATCTGCACTATGTTTTTGATTATTCAATATTGCAAAGATATTAAATATCAAATAAGATCTAAATAATATTTTCTTTAAATTGACCTCCAGACTCAATACAACTTCAATAAAAATTCCAACAGATTTTTTTTTGGTGGGGGGCCCAGTTGTGGGTCCTGAACTCTGGGCCTGGGCACTGTCCCTCAGCTCTTCAGCTCAAGGCCAGTGCTCTACCACACAGCACCACTTCCGGCTTTTTCTGCGTATGTGGTGCTGAGGAATTGAACCCAGGGCCTCAGGCATGCAAGGCAAGCGCTCTACCACTGAGCCACCTTCCCAGCCCAGTATTTATTTTTGTAGAACTTGAATTCATTCTAAAATTTGTATGAAACACGAGGGAGCTAATAATAGCTCTTTCACTGTCAAGGAAGAACCAAACCACAAAATCAAGGTAGACTATAGACTTACAAGTGACAGATATAACCGGCAAGACTTACATTCTTAAATATAAATCCTCAAATGTCTTTGTGACAGGGAAGATTTTTTTTTTTTTTTGCTAATACTGGGGCTTGAATTTGGCCTTGTGCTCTTGCTTAGTTTTTTCTGCTTAAGCCTGGCGCTCTATCACTTGAGCCACACCTCTACTTCTAGCTTTGTGCTGGTTAACTGAAGATAAGATTCTTTTGGACTTGTCTGCCTGGGGTGGCTTTGAAAAGAGATCCTCAGATCTCAGCCTCCTGAATGGCTATGATTACAGGCATGTGCCACCTGAACATGGAAAGAATTTTTAAAAGATGATTCACACACCCACAATACCGCAGTGCGCGCGCGCACACACACACACACATACACACACACTCACACATAAGAAAGCAAATCAAAACCACAAGATATTACTGAGAGAATACTTGATATTTTTAAGTTTACAATACCAAGGTCTCAGGAAAAATATGGACCAACCGAAAAACTCCATGCATTCTTAGTGAGGATGCAATAATACAGCCACAGTGGGCGAACAATGTAGCCCGCCCTTCCCTCCTTCCTTCCTTCTTTCCTTCCTTCCTTCCTTCCTTCCTGCCTTCCTGCCTGCCTGCCTTCCTTCCTTCCCTCCCTCCCTCCCTCCTTCCTTTCTTCTTTCCTTCCTTCCTTCTTTCTTCCCTTCCTTCTTTCCTTCCTTCCTTCCTTCTTTCTTTCCTTCCTTCCTTCCTTCTTTCTGTCCTTTTTTCTTTTCTTTTCTTTTTGGTAGTTCTGGGGCTTGAGCCCAGGCATGCTAGGCAAGTTCTCTACCTCATGCGCTACTCCTAACCCTTTTGTTTCTATTTTGTCTTGAAGATAGAGTCTCACCACTCTCTTGGCCCAGGATGGCCTCAATCTCATGATTCTCTTGCCTCTGCCTCGTGAGTAGCTGGGATTATATATATGTAGCACTATGCCTAGCTAGCAATTTCTTATAAAGACAAAATACTCCTACTAGCTGGGTGCATATGGCTCAAGCCTATAATCCTAGCTACTCAGGAGGCTGAGATCTGAGCTTTGTGGTTTGAAGGCAGCCTGGGCAGGAAAAGCTGTGAGACTCTTATCTCCAATGAAGTACTCAGAAAAAGCCAGAAATCCTGCCACTGGGACTCAGTGCTAGCTTTGAGCAAAAGCAGCTCAGGGACAGAGCCCAGGCCCTGAGTTCAAGCCCCAGGACTGGCACAAAAAAAGACTTCTACCATATGATCTAAGAAACCTACATCTATGTATTATCCAAATCAAATGTAAACTATATTCACACAAAAATGTCATGCACATTTCAGGGACCCTAATGCCAAATGCCAATTCACAACAATGTAAAATTGTGCTTTTGCTACTTTGACCTTCCTCACCTACCTGGCCTGACTCTGTGAACAAATACAGTTGCTAGGAGGATAGCTGGAAGAGGTAAGGAAAAAGGAGACTCAGCCTGGCACCAGCCTCCCGCCACTCTGGGCTTTCAGCCTGAAGCAGTGGCAGATTGAGGGGAGACAGGATTCTATGTTGTGCAAAATTCTGAAGCCTTGCAAAGCTGGAAGACAGGCCTGAATTAAAAATTGTGGGGAGAAATCAGCAAAGATGCGAAGGAACAATGTGAGAAGGAAGAAAAAAGTTTTCTGATCACCTCAGGGAGTCCAGTGTGCTGAATACAATAGTTCTGTGAGCAGTCACTTACACTAATTATGAATGACTCTTCTCTATTCCCAACATGTGCTAAATAGAGAAAGCTTCATAGGCTAAATGAATGAAGTAGTACTGATTATAGCTTAATAGACTATCATAAAAATTGGGCCCTCTTTCCTAATGATCCAGAACTGAAATATATTTGAGGAAATTAATTGAGAAGTTAGCAAGAAGTTGGGATTCTTTGATCTTACAGGTATTTGGATGTTAAAGAACCTATGAGCCTCACTAGAAGGATTTTTCTTGATGTTGTTTGTGTGTGCCTGGGGTTTGAATTCAGGGCTTGGCTTCTCTGTTCATGCCTGCTTGCTCTACCACTGAGCTATGCATCTAGTTCAGGCTTTTTGCTGGTCAATTGGAAATAAAAGTTTCTTAGATTTGTCTGTCAAGCCTGGCTTTGAACCAAGATTTCAGATCTTAGCCTCCTAAGTAGCTAAGATTATAGACAGGAGCCAATGGCACCTGGCTCTAGAAGAAAATTTTGTGTGCCATGCACAGCACTGTAATCCCAGTGTGTATAACAGTGATTGATTCAAAGGAAGAAAGCACTTGTTGAATGACTGAATGAACAGAAATGCATTTTGTTTAACTCCGATAATACGGACTTCATAAATGAGAGGCTCAGGAACCTATGACAATGGGTTGAGGATATAAGGCCATTACTGAAAGGTGACTAGCTGGGGCTAATCCCAGTAATAATAACTGGAAATCTCTACAAACAAAACACAAACGAGACAAAATTTTTGTTTAAATTCTCCATGGAGAACATTTTATTTATTTATTTATTTATTTATTTATTTATATTCTTCTTGCATACTCTAAAATGCACAGTGTGGATTTCATTTCTTCAAAAACAGTCTTGCGACTATTTAATTATTGGAAATGTTGGGAAGGTCTTCAGAAACATTGCCTTAGGTTTTAGCTAAGCGAGTCACAGAGATTGGTCATGAACTACTACAAAATTACAGGAGATCTAGTTATTGTTGAAGAGTTAACTAGAAAAGCATTGAGGACACCAGATATATAGCCAGACAGGATAAGAGAAGAGCAGAAGCTATTGGAGTAATAGGATTTCCATATGTATGATTCTATGTACAGTATGAATTCTTTCACAGATAGTACATTTATGCTTAAATCGTTTTTAAGGGCACTCTAATATAAATACAAGTCTCACAAATGTTAATCTTTTCTCTTTGGCTCACAATTGCACAGAAATACCATAAACAGTATTCAGAACGTACTTCATTAATATATAAATAAGATACATTACAAATGAGAAGAAAATACAAGATGTCTCTTTAAACATGGCAAATCTCTGAATATAAATAAGCAAACATTTCACTGATCTACAATTAAACAGTCATTGAAATCATTATATGTGTTTCTCTCCACCATCACACAAGATCAGACAACAGGAATATATACAATCTCCACAAATTACATCTCTAAAAATAATGGCAATAGTACACCTGTAACAAGGACTCAGCTACAATTCTCCCCTAACAGGACCCAAATAGGCAGGGCGTGATTCTCTTCATCTCATAGTGCTTTTTCTCATTTGTATGACATCAGGTGGGAGAGATGTTGACAGCGATTTCAGTCCTCACTGACCACATTTCTCTTGGTCCCTAGGACACAGCGTTTGGAAAGCCATTCTTCCTGTGGTTGTTGGGCAAACTGGCTTGTGGCATATTTAGCCCCTCAATAACTGCTGAAGGTGAAGCTATTTCTCTGGGCCATAAGACATGCTGTGATCTAGGACCAAGCCACACCTACTATACATACATCTATGTATGGAGACAGAGAGAGAGGTATATATAACTGTACATATATACTGGGACCCTAATGTGCAATTAAAAAGAAACATCATTTCCCACTAATTCTAACAAACGAGCTTAAGTAAGTTGTAAGGGATATTCTTCAAGATACTATATTTTCCTCCAATGAAATGGTCTAGGTGTTTTAACAAGGGATAGAGGTTTATTCTAGAGGGCCAGAAGAAAGGAAATTCCCTTCAACTCCTGTTCTGGAAAGGGTGATTACAGATCCTGGCCCAGTCTTTCTATCTCTTCAATGAGGAAGTCGATGTCAGACTGAGTGGCGGCTGGGTTTGAGATGACCATCCGAAAGAAGTTGGCCTTGTCTCCCTGAGGCTGGTAGCCAACCATAGTGGTGCCTGACTCCATCATCAGAGCTTTGATCTTTGGAGCCACCTTGCGATGGGAACACAAAACAAAACCCAACACTGGCATGAGTACCCTTTGTGTTTAAACACTTCAGCCCAATCTGGGTTTTACTACCTGTGTTGGTACTGACATACATAAAGCAAAGAAATATTTGAGATCCAGGAGTCATTACTGGATAGTATCTAGTGACTATTTAAGTCTACCCTCTCATAAATTTCCTCAGAAAGTACTGGGTGGCTGAACTTTCAAAGTAAGTCATGGAACAATGACAATAAAATCCCAAAGGGGGAAAAAAAAACAAAGGCAAAAAAACCCCTAAGCAATACAACTCAGCATTTAGGAGACTGTCTGCCACATAGACAGTGTTTAACAAATATTTGTCCAATGGTTGGATCAATGAGATAGAACCGCAATTAAATATACATCAATTATTCTGATTATGCACAAACTAGATATAGGAAATCAAAAGCTAAGATAAAACACTATTAGACTTAGTAAAGACACAGTTTAAATTTAAGAATTTTTTTTTAAAAAGCAACAAACCCAACCCTTCCTAGAAGTGTGTAAATCATTTGGTTGCTTTGCAGAGCCTCTGTAATGAAGACCAGCCTAAGCTGGAGATGCATCCTTAGAGGTGTTTGTTGTATCTGAACTGTAGCAATGGGACAATACAGATCTCAATTTATTAACAAGATGGCTAATTAGTACCCCATTACTAGAAGCCTACCGTAAGATGTTTTACGTTTTCTCCCTTTAGAATGGCTTATTGGAATGTAGGTGTCCTGACTAGCCAGAGAAACTGAAGAGAATTAGATGAGTCCATACCCTGTGTAGTTTTTCCCGTCGCTCAGGGCTATCTGGAACACCTCTGAGGCTTTGTGGAATGTACCAGAAACAGACGTTTGTGTGCTCAGGCTGCAGAGATTTTTTAAACAAACAGACAAACAATAAAACTATGAGAACTTGAGAGAAAATGGTTGCCAAACCCATAGGTACCTCTGGACTGTTTCTCAGAACAAAAAAAGGCCTGATGTCTAACTCAAAGACAATGTCATCAATGTTACGTGTAAATATATGAAGCAGAAAAATGCCATTCCCCACAATCAGGTTTCTAGAGAACTGAAGTTACCACCTTCAAACCCTGAAATGTCTAAATACATTTGTGCAGTTTTTAAAAAGGCACTGTCCATTTTTCACTTATAGAGCACACATTTACACAATACTCTGATGATAGTTTATTTATTTTTGATACTGATGATACAGTTTTTAAACTGTATCACCTATTTGCTGATCCCATGGCTGCCTCTAGCTGGTTTGAGACCTCATGTATGTGCTTAAAAATCTTTGTCTAGATGTAACTATAACATAAAGAATTATGTAAAGCTCCATTGGTGGGAGATATAAGCACTAGAACATTGATTTTTGACAGCTTAGCGCTCTTCTGTGCTCATTTGGTGACTCTCAGGTATTTTTCCTAATAGTTGATGTTGCCTGATAAATAAACAGATGCTGAATGTTGATGGGGTTATATGTTACACTTGGTTATGAGTGGATTTTCTATTATTGGCACTGGTTCTGATTCTATCTTTATTCAACTGTGAATTCCATTAGAGCAAAGAGAGTGAGTGCTTTGACCAATAATATATGCCCAGCCCCTGGCATGTGAACACACAGAGACTTTGGTATGGCATTTTATTGTGTGTAATGAGGATGTGGACTCAGCACAGAGAGAATTTTATCTGGCTCTCCTCATAATGAATGTACGTACATAAAGTAGACCCTTGTTTTCTAGCCAGTCTTGCTCTAAGCTTCTTGGTTGTAAGAAATACTTTATTATAGAGTCCAATATAAGACAAAGCCAGGAACGATGAGGAATCAGACCTGCCATGGAAAGACTAATCTGAAAAGGGATAGCTGAGGCTATATGGTATGAAAAGTGGTGAGTGGGGAGAAGTAGCTCCAGTGATTTCAGAGAAAAGTTCATGAACTTGGAGGGAATTAAGAAGGAAAGGCCAGAGGCAGCGTGTGGCAATGTGGGGGCTGTGGCTTCAGGAGCTTTCCTCAATAGTTTTTCTAGAGGTGCTGTATATCCAGCCCGTAATGACCACCTACCTCACCATCGAAAACCATCTCAAATTCTTCTCTGTTTTTAATCTTGGCATAGAGATATTCAGCCAGCTCTAGACATTTGTTGATCTGATTTTCAAATCCCACAGTGCCCTGTTTTAAAGAGAAAAGTTGTGTTTGTTGGTACCGAGTTGCCTTTCTCTGTGATGGTCTTTTGGAAAGGTTATGCTGTTTTGGTCTATTTTGGAGATAACTGGGAAGAACAATCTACAAGTATATAGCTTCTTTGTATTTCTACATACAATGGCATGAAGTTTGCCTGTTCTTGTCTTTCAAGGCTACTCCAGTCTTCTCAGTAGAACTTTTTGACTTTCTGCTAGTTATTCACAGCCTGCACTAGAAATGATTTCTAGGTTGCTTTAGGACAATACTATTCAAAGTGTCGTATTCAGACTGACACTAGTCCATAATCTATAACCATCTGGGATGATGAAGTAAAGAAATCGATCTTAAGCATTCTCTCTTAAAGCAATTAGTGCAGGAAATTTGTGTCTATTGATGTTAATTTTAAAAAGTGCTTTATACCTTGTAAATTTTATAGTTCATTTTTGTAGCAATTCATCTTTACTGGTCTGTGACAGGTGGAAGGAACAGAACATGGATTCTTCATCAGAGACACTTTGAAAGACACTACTTTAGAAGACAGCTTTCCATTTTCATCACAAAGTCTTGGACAAATACATCTCATATGCTGGCAGGCAGGCTCCTTCACACACCCAGGCAAGAAAGCATATGGGGACGCCACTGCTCTAAGAACGTGTACTGATAATGCAATAGCTCCCACTACTGACAGCATGGCTGATTACTAACAGCATCATGAGGGGTGGTGAGTGGGCTGGAATTAACAAGGAGAACAGATGTGTAAGTCTGGCTCATATATGGCTAATGGGCTTGGGTAGAGTCCAATGCTGGCAAAGGGTGAGCTTCCATTGAGAAAGAAACCTACATCAGGATCGACATCAGCAACTAGTACATTGTAGCCAAACTTCCTGAAGATAGTACAACAGGTTATAGTTAGGCAAAATGAAAACATTTATTCTTAAGAGGCCATATGATCATTATGAGAGAATTATTTCTCTTCTTACAATGTATGACACATACATTGAAATACTTGTGCTAATATGTGGTAGAAATCAAATTCAGATTCTAGATTAAGACAAAATGACGTAGAGAGGAAAAATATTAATAATCTCCTAAAGTTTTCTTCCAGAAGAAATAGCTAAGTATTTTGCTGGGAAACCTATTGTTTAGCTATTAGGCTGATCCAGTTTTAAACATAGAGATTACAAAAATTAATTTATAGTAGGTAAATAATATGTTGTGGTGAAAAGCTATAAAATCAAAATTGCTTTACCTGCTTGCAGAAAAAATATTTTTGAAACACTACAATGGTAATCTCCTTACTCATGTTTTAAGGGAATTCCCCATAGCTAGCTTTTTCCTTATAGAAAGGTAACTGGAGGGGGATGACTGTAAGTACAGAGTGATTCAGGAGCATTGAGTAGGCAGTTTCCAACTGCATCACCCACAACAAAAGAATAAAATAAAAAAGGTGTGCATATTCCAGAACAAAAAGCATTATTTAAATAAAACTTAAATCTGTCATATATATTCCATGATGAGAAACTTCATAAAAGAACTCTACTCAAGAGTAACACCAGAGGTTTATCTTTTATCTCTTTCTCTATAGCTGCACTAAATAATTTTAGCATCCCTAAGGAGTGCTGTAGAAATTCTTAACTGGATATCGTTTCTAGTTGTTGTAAGAGAAAGTTGTAAGACAATTTCATGATAATTCACACTGAGGAGACTGAATTGGACAAGAAAGCCTTTAACATAAGGGATAAAGTGATTCAATTCACAAAGAAAATAGTTAAACCAATTATCTAGATACTGATTATACACACAGCATATTCCCTGTGATACATCATTGGCTCTTGTTGAGCTCTAGTGAGTGCAATTGCTTTGCTGCTCTGTCTCCACATTTCCCCCTCATACCTTTGCTTTCCACATGAGCCAGAACTTGAAGATGTCCACATGGCGGCCACATTGAATTGCCTTGTCCCCAGTATCATAGGAGACGTCGTACTGCTTGTCTGGCTGGAAGAGGTACCCTGCACACATCTGGTTGCATCCTTGCAGGATCCCCTGTAGTGGAAATCGAGATGTGTGCCACACATGAGGTCTTGCAGAAGCCTTGTTCTGGTGTCCTTTTTTGAAACCACTCTCAGAAAAACTCTTGCCCCTTTGCCTTCTGCCACTCCCATTTGAAAATGATCTCTTGTCTCAGATGCCCCCAACTCAGATGCCTCCCTGGCTTCTAAGGAGCATTTGGAAATGCATGTGGGTTTTGTTGTGGATTGTTTCAAAGACTGAAAATTCAGTTGGCTGGGGTTAGGGATATAAGCTTCCGCAATGGGTGGGAAAGTTGGGAATATTTTGCACTATGAAAAACTTTCTTCCCTCAAGCTTTGCTTCCCCTACCCCTAAAGGTCTTCCAATCTTTGGAAGCCCTCCTGTGAAGTTCACAGCGACTCTGTGGGAGTGGAGGGAAGCACCCGTGCCATTCTGCAGCAGGTTTATGAAGCTACATAGATCCCTGGAGGATGGGGTCCTATTGTCAGCTGTATGAAGAAGGGCCTATGGCACTGACGCGTTTATAGAAGCTCTTCAGTCAACCTTCCTTGTTGCCTTAAATTAGTAATTGTAATTCTTGGTCTAATTTATTTCAGCTCTTGGGACCACAAATTAATACTAAACTCACAGGTTGTCCAGTGAGCACTGTGTGCTCTCACTGAGGACATAACTGATTGGCTGGCTCATCCCCATGGCCCTCATGTTGGTGCAAGCATGAAGGAATACTTAATTCAAGAATTCCCTGAGAGCTTCAGTCACCAAAAGGGCCCTGAGTACTGAACAAGGAGGAAGGGCAGCCATCAGCAAGAGCCAATAGGGAATTGAGGCCAGCGAGGAGAGCAGCAAGGGCAGCCTGCAGTCTCACAGTGGGGACTGCAACTTCACAGAAAGTGCTATGGAAAGATGCCAGACTTTTGCCTTTTGGTGCCTTCGAAAGGATGGATGTATCTGTGGAAGGATTACAGACCTTTTCCTTGACCAGAATGGCAGAGCACTGTAGCAGAACCCCCATCATCTTGTGAGGGTTCCAGGTGACTGAGTTGGCCCTGTAAGAAGCACATGATCATGAGGAGAAAGTACAGGAGCGAGGGAGACAATTGTCTGCTGCAGAAAACACCATTCTTCCCCACCACTGTTTTCTATGCCTAGTCTTCTACATTGTCAAGAAGACAAGAAGACATGTATCTGTCTGAAGGCAGTCTCCAGGCTTTATATTGCAGATTGCGTCTTCTTTGGAACTGACATCCATAATAACCACCATTGATGAAGATCTTCTTAAGGGGCCCCATTTATACCTAAAGCCTTAGATAGAAATCAACATGGTAATACAGGTAAGAAATCAGGCTTTGAAGCCAGATTGTTCAAGTCTGAATCCCAGCTCTGACATTTGCTAGCTAGGAAACATTATATAACTCCTTGTGCTTCAGTATTACCATCTGTAAAATGGGGGGGGGTCTTCCTTACCAGTACAAAATTAAAAATAAAACAAATTAATAGATATACAATGCTTATAATAGTGTCTGGAATATATTATATATTCATACACACACACACATATATACACAAGTATATATTTTCCAAACCAGCACTACAATGTAGGTATTCCTATTTTTTCTAGTTTAGATCGAGAAAGAGAAGCACAGGTAGGTTAACTATATTACTTGAAGTCACATATCTAGAAGTATTGGAATCAAGATTCTAACTGTAGATCTGGTGCTCAAAAGCACTAGGTTGTCTCCCTCTTGGTTGAAGACTCTGGCTCATCTCCACCTTTCTGTTCTTATTTGTAAGATGGGGTGATGCAGACCTACCTACTTATGGGATATTTAAGGGCAAGGATCCACTGGGCTATTCTAGGCTGATTTCCTAACAGCATTGCTTAAATGCTAAATGAACATGATTTTGCCAGTTTGGGCTGTAATGCTAGCTTAGCAAGAATAGTCTCCTAGCAACCATATCACTGTGTCAGACACAATTAGATGGTTAAGAAACACACTGGCTAGGCCATTTCAGACACAACTGAAAGTAATGAATGATGATGAAAACTTGGAGACCTTGCTTCAGTGGATTACAGACTCCTTCCTGATGACCGGCTCCCACAGCTGGCTCAGACTTCTAATTCCTGTGCAGAATGTTTTCCCAACTAGACTACTGCCTTGGAGTTATACTATGCCTTCTCTCCCAGAACCAGGCCCTGATTGTGATTTTTTTTTTTTACTTCTTCATCTGGCTTGGGTCCTTGAAGGGGGAAATAGTTTAGTTGCCTATGTGTCCTGAGTGTCAAGAAGAAGAGACAGGAAGGTTTGAAGATTGTTTCTGGCAAGCACCTATTGAAAAAATCCTCATGAGACTGTGAAATGCCTCCGGGAAAGTTCCCTACATGTTGAGGTCACGAAAAAGAACTCTTGTCAAGCCATAATTGGAAGATAGCTGAGTGTTTTAACCAATTTTGTCATGGCTACCATGTACAAAGTCATTAGAAATTATATCTAGATCTCATAAACTATCTTTTTTTTTTGGTCGGTCGTGGGGCTTGAACTCTGGGCCTGGGCGCTGTCCCTCAGCTCTTCAGCTCAAGGCGAGCGCTCTGCCACTTGAGCTACAGTGCCACTTCCGGTTTTCTGGTAGTTTTTTTTGGAGATAGGAATCTCACGGTCTCTCCTGCCCGGGCTGGCTTTGAACCTCGATCCTCAGATCTCAGCCTCCTGAGTAGCTAGGATTACAGGCGTGAGCCACCAGCGCCCGGCTCTCATAAACTATCTTAAGTAGGTTTCTAAATACCATGAAGGTATGAATGAAGTCAGTGACTCTACGTGGAATATCATGGGACATGACATGGATTTGGTTTCCTTTTGCACACATGGGTTTTCAATTTTTTTTTAAAAGAAAAAGTCTAGTGCCCTAAGTTTTAAGTTTTCCCAGATTCAAGCATGGAAAAGGAACATTGCATGAGAAATCTTAAGCACAGTTGGGTCAACATATCTACCTTTAAAATCCTGATCTCTAAATTATAGGGCCATGTAGTTATACTTTAGAGATCCAGTCTCAGCCAGGTCTTTCAAAACTGAGACAGTAACAGCCGCAGAAGCCAGAGAGTTACTGATGCGTTCTTCTCACGCATCTCCGCAATGTGCCTGCACTCATGACCCCTTCTACCTCACTCCAGCCCCATAGCCTCTCACATGGTCCTCACAGTGCCGAGAAAAGTCCTGCCTCAGGGTCTTTGCACCTGCCATCTCCACTGCCTGAAATACTTTTTCCTATGCCCTTATTTCCTATCTGCCTTTGTCATGGTCTCTGTAATAAGACAGGGAGCTGAGCAAGCGTGTTGCCACCTTCCCACCTTCCCAGCTAGCTTAGCAAAGAAAAAGAGCAAAAGGGACCAGGGACCTTTCTGTTCCCCAGGCAAACTCTGACTCAGCTCACACACACCCCTTCCCAGTTAGTCTTCTTCTCTCCTACCTGGGCACGTGAAATCTCACCTATTATAGAGCGAATGACGTGATGCTTTTTGATTGTTGACTTATCTTTCTACTTGAGAACTTACGGGGGACACATTTGATTGGGAAAATCAATCGTTCAATAAGTGCTCAATACATGGCTGCTGAATTCAAGTGAAGAGTTGTGGGTCTGAATGAAGATGCTGGGAATCGGGGCAGGAGGGGGAGGTGGAAGCTGTGGGCAGAGCTGGGAGGGGAGGAGCAGAGTGATCCGGTGCCCTGAACGGAAGGGTTGCCTGCCCGTACCTTTCTATGCCGCTGAGTTTATGGCGGTGCTTCCTGGACATGAGCAGTCCACCACCCCAGGCAGCCTGTGAGGACAGAGAAAGGGGAGGGACAGGAAGTAGTTACCCCAACTTTAGTCAGATGCCAAGGAGAATGGCAGAGGTGAAAAACAAGCTTCTCTCATAGAGACTCCCACCCCAACACTCTAGCAGCTTATTTATTTATTGGTGTTACTGGGACATGAACTTAATAAAGCACTGTCACCAATGAAACCACACCCCAGGTTTTTGAGTTTGCTTTTGATGTAGGGTCTGGTGCTTATGCATGGTAGCCTCAGATCCCAATTCTGCCTTCACTTCCCTAGCAGGTGAAATAACAGATATGCTCTACCTGTGAGACAAGGGTCTCACTGATTTTGCTTAGGCCAGTCTTGAATTTGAATCTTCCTCAGCTCAGCCTCCCAAGGAGTTGAGATGACAAGAATGAGCCACCTTGCCTAGCTTCATTTTCCATTTTGTATCAAACTTCCCTCCTATATATATCTGGGTAATGCAGGTAGGCTAGGACTGAGCCTCTGGCGCTTGTGGCATAAGACTGAAAGAGCATAGGAACCAGAGACCTCTGAGCTCTCCAGAGCAGCCCCAGAAGCTACTCAAAGGCCTGGGCAGCGCCACCTCCTTCTTTTCAGAGTAGAATTCTAATCCCTCCTGAGAAACTTGGAAGCCCCATTAAGCCAGCATCAGCAAGGCTTTGTGGAGATCATGATACATGTTTACTAGATAGCTGGATGTATCATGTGACACAACAGCCTTTGCAGGTCATTGCTTGATAGCAAGATAGATTTTCCTCACTGTCCATTTGTGAAAAGTTAAAATCATAAGAGAAAGGAAAAAAAACCTACTTAGTCACACATATGAAAATGTATCTTTTTTGTTGCAGGGAAAATTGGGGCCAAATCTTAGTTTAATTCCTTCCACACACTTTGTTATTTTCCTGCAGGTAGCATGTATATAATCTTTTTAGAACAGTGTTACAGGTAGGCAGATGCAGCTAGCTAGCCTAGAGTTCACACTCCCAACCACTTTCTATACCTTATGTCCTTTCTCCCTTTGACACTAGCCATATTTTCCTCTATAGTCATTCATTCCAACAAAGTGACCCGGCAGGCAGTGCCAATCACATTCTAGGAGGAGCCACAGAAGACAGCCACAGGCCAATAAGGAGCTAGATGTGTCCTGCAGGGTGGCCAGGTATGGTAAGTAGGTAATGGTCATGATTGGCTGGCTAGAATTAATGTGGTGTTCAGAGGGGTGCAAACTAGGGTATTGGGAGCAGCTTGAGGCAAATCATAGAGCACATGGTTTCCACCCCCTGGATAGACTGAGCCACTCTGTGATTTACAGCACTTACATCAACATGCAGCCAAAGGTTGTATTTCTCACAGATATCGGCAATCTCCTGAATTGGATCAAAGGCTCCATAAACAGTGGTGCCAGCTGTTGCATTGACATATAAAGGAACATATCCCTAAGGTGGAGAGATAGGTGATCAGTACTTTTATACTTTCTCATTTCCCTATTTCCACATGAAGTAGAAGAATAGAAGAATTGTTAGAATATTTATTTATAGTGGTGATCAACAAAGCTGGTGTGGAATCAGATACAATGACTAGAAGTATTCTTGGTTGGTTCATTTGTTCATTTGTGTGTGTGTGTGTGTGTGTGCTGATCCTGGGGCTTGGGTGCAGTCTCTGAATTTCTTTGCTCAAGGCTAGTGCTCTACCACTGAGTCGCAGCTCCACTTCCAGCCTTTTAGTGATAAAAGTCTAACAGATTTTACTTCCAGGGCCGGCTTTGAACTGTGATCCTCAGATCTCAGCCTCCTGAGTAGCTAGGATTACAGGTGTGAGCCACCAGAGCTAGGCTTGTTTATTTATCAACAAAAGGTACAGGTCTTGTGGTAAATTCTAGGGATTCAGGGAACAGAGCAGATGAAGTCAGTCTTAATCATGGAGATGAAATTAAATAAGCAAAGTACACAATATATGACAGAATACATTTTGTGAAAGTCATGTGACAAAATACTTAAGGAACGAGTAATAATAAGTATTTAGAGTGATGGGCAGGTACCTCTCCAAATTTCACTTCACTTCTGAGTATTGTTCTTTTCAGGTGTCACGTTGCTCTAAAGCATACTGTTCAAACAATTAAACAGCAAAATTGATTCTATATACTGTAAAAGATAAAACACACGAAAGTGGAGCTGTGGGTCAAGTGGTAGAGTGCCAGCTTTGAATAAAAAAAGCAAAGTGAGAGTGAAAGGCCCTGAATTCAAGAAAAAACACACACAGGATGAAAGGATGACATGAACAGAAAGTAAACCAGGAAGTGAAATAGGAAAGCAAAGACAGGTTGAGGTCATAGGTGTTTTTCAAGCTCAGTCCCATATCCCCTCCTTGCTCAATCCTAGCAACACTTCATTCACCTCTTGTGCAATCAGACCTGGAGGCTCAAGAAGGTAATCGAAGTAACAATGTGATATGAAATTTTTTTGTTTAATAGAGTTTGTGAAGGCTGGCTTTGCCTAGTACTATTGCCCATCTGTTGGATATGCAAGCATTCATTAAACAAAATCCAAACCTAAAATAGCATCTATTAAGATGAGATTATACCTAACAATAAACAAGTAAAAACTTCAGTTGGGCCCTATCTCCAGGATGCCCAGAGTAGTTGATTTATTGGAGAGCATTTTGCCTAAAAATGATTTAGTGACTAAAATTTTCCACTTTTCACAACACAAAATGGTTATTTTGTACAGACAGCTGTAGGCCAAATAATTTCATCAGCTAGAAATAAATTTTAGAGTGATCCTAAAAATAAAACTTTAGAAATACAATTATCTCTTTATTAAATTTTTTATTGTCTAGGTCAGAAACAAAATATATGAGAAAATTATTCACTGGTGTGTTGAAGCATCCTATTGTATGTACCTTTTGCTTGGCTTCAAGAATTTTTGCCTCTAAATCAGCTGGAATTATCTTCCCCCTGTAATTATTGTAAAAGGAGAGAAATTAAAATGAAGAATCAACAAGATTGCTCACAAAAACCCTTCAGCAGCAGCAGTAGCAGCAAAAAGTAATTTAATCGGATATTTTCAACAGACCATTAGCAGCTTGGCACACTGTACTGAGCCAGTCCTTAAGCACAATAAAACAAATTTAACAGATGAACACATTTAATACATCAAGAACCTAATATTCACTCTCCCCTGCCTACCTTTCATTGCACTTTATCAAAATCACATTGTCGGTTCCAAAGCCAAGCGCAGCCCCAGCTTTCTTTATGGAATAGTGACTCTGCAACAAACAGGGACTTGAGGTTAAAAATTAGGAGAGTCCCTTGGAAAACACCACATTCCATGGGCAAGAGCCCCCAACTCACGTGTTCTGAGGTGAAGAGAACCAGTTTGGGCACAGCTGCCATGCCCTTTGTCTTCACTTCCGGGAAGTACTTGTAGCGAGCAGCCATGATGCTGTACATGTTGGATATGGCTCCCCCTGCCAGCAAGCAGACACGGTGGGAGGCATTGAGCTATTGTTTCTAACACAATGCAAGCTGGTGTCTCAAGAGAAAAAGCTTCCCTCTGGACCTTCTGCCCTGAGAATATAGGTAGTCATACTATGTAGGCAATTTGGCTAAAGTGATTCACACTTTCACACATAGCCTTCAAGCATTTACTTTCTGCTCTATCTGTTTACTGAACGAAGTTAATCTGTTCCCTGGGTTCAGAAAGAGAATGAGAGTAACAGAACTTATGAAAAGAAACAGTGATGGTGGTTGGGTACTCTCTTCAAAGAGTAGCCTGCATGTGTTAGAAGTAACTGATTGAATATGTTTATTTAAACAAAAACAAATTTATGTTGAGCTAAATAAAGATACAGAAGACAGACAGTGGCAACTATCCAGGCAGATCCAGCCAAGTCAAACTAGTCATTTATATTAATTACCTGAGAAAGAAATAAGCAAATATGTGGTCTCCTTGAAATGCCTAGAAAGTTTTATTTTTTATTTCTTTTCTTCAGTACACTAGCCCACTGTTTCTAATATATCCCCACCTCCAGGAATACCTGTCTTTGTATCTACTGTAAATTAGAGGCTTACTGACATTAGTTAATTGGTACTCAATTAATGGATCCCCTCCCCCAGCATAGCAAACTGCTGTTGGCAAAATGTTGCCATTTAACATGATCCAGACACAGGCTTAGTTTGTATAGATTTAGGCAGCGCCATTATTAGTTCATAAAGATAAAGCATTCTCCCTAGCCTTCTTCTTTATACAGATAGGAAGGAAGAAGGTGAAAAAAATTAACATCATCAAGGCCTGACATGATATAATAAAAACCATTAATTTGTATAACTCATATGCATTAATAGTGGAAGCAATTTCTAAAACATTTTAAGGTCATTATTCTACAAATGCATGTTTTAATATTTCCCCAAATCCCAAGGGCCCATGCTGAAAACCCTGAAAATAATCAGAAGAAGAGATGAGAAACCTACCAGGAGAAAATATCCCATCACCATCTTTATTTGACCATCCAATTATCTCTCTCATCTTCTTAAGTGTTATTTGCTCCATGAGGACAAACACTGGTGCAATTTCATATGTAAACCTGGGAAGGTGTTAAGAAGGATGGAAATAAACCACTCATTTGGGGGAACACAGACAATTGGTTTAGTACTTCTATGTGGGTTCTTAAAAAAAAAAAGATGTCAAGTTAGGTGCAGGTGGCTCACCACAGTAACCCTAGCTACTCAGAGATATGAGGATCCCAGTTCAAAGGCAAACAGGGCAAACAAATCCAAGAGATTCTTATTTCTGATTAACCAACAAAAAGCTGTAAGTGGAGGTGTGGCTCAGTGGTAGGTAGACTGCCAACTTTGAATGAAAAAGATGAGTGAGAGCATGAAGGCCCTGAGTTCAAGCTCTAGTCTGTGTGTGTGTGTGTGTGTGTATGTGCATTTTCTCTCTGTCTCTGTCTCTATCTCTGTCTCTCTGTCTCTGTCTCTCTCTCTCTCACACACACACACGCACAAACAATGTTAAAAAAAACATATAGCCAGGCACTGGTGGCTCATGTCTGTAATCCTAGCTACTCAGGATGGCTGAGATCTAAGGATCAAGGTTCAAACTCAGCTCAGGCAGGGCTCTTATCTCCAATCACCACCAGAAAAGTGGAACTGGTGCTGTGGCTTGAAGGGTAGAGTGTTAGCCTTAAACAAAAAGAGCTCCCAGGTCCTGAGTTCAAGCCCCATGACTGACAAAAAAAAAAAAGCACTAACAGAACTTATTTCCTGGAAATGCATTGTCAGAAACCAGCCTAGGTTACTGAGAGAGATGGTGGAAATGTTTTCTCTGGGATATTTTAACAGCTTCTGATGTCCTAGGTGTATTGAGGTATAGAGGGAAGACAAGAACTTATCTGGTTCCCTTTTATCTTTAGAATTAAGTATTTTAAGTTCTACTTAAACTGGTTTGAAACATTAAAAAAATAATTACACCACGTTCACACTTCCAGAATCTGCAAAAACAAGAGCCCAAATCTGTCTTTTAAGAGCAATGTAAACATCTGAAGACTGTGAAGAAAATGGCATGTTTTGACCCATGTTTTAAAGATCTCAATAAAATTATCTACATAGTTCTTCTACCAATAATCTCCAAGGACAGCTACATACCTATAATTCTCTGAAGTCAATATCTGTCAAGAATAATTACAAACTGATGATTTTCTAATTACAAATAACAAGATAGTTAACTAGCATATAAATGTAGGCATCAGATCTCCTGAAAGGTTTGATGTGCCTCCTAACAAACTGATATAAAGGCAAGGCATGCTCTTTCAAAGAAATTCAAAAGCAAAGACACAATCTGGTAGAAAAGTAATTGAAACAAGATCAGGGGACCAAACATAGGGCCGAAAAGAAATCAAGGAAAGTTCATCCACAGATAATAAAGCCAGAAGACAAAAGGATATTAACTGAGCTCTGAGGCTCTTTGTCCTTTTTATTTTAGTTTGAACTTATAAAGCATTAGAGTCTGTGGGATGAGCTGACTGTCCTTGCCAAAGAGAGATGCCTACCCTGCCTAAGCCAAGGGACAAAAGGAGGCATTACCATAGGCTAGGGTGTTTGGGTTAAATACCAAATGCTAAGGACTAATGGAAATTCTTGCTTATTTAATGACTTAGAAAAGCTATTTGCAAGGATGAGATATCATTGCTGTATATAAGACACAGGTAAAACTACTACATTTTCATCATGGAGGGAAAAAAATCACATGACAGTAGAAGAAGACAAAAGAGATCCTAAAGGACCCTCAGGATATTGCCTGTTGGTAGAGGAATTTTGTTTCCAAAAAAGAATATGTCCATTCTCATTGGGAGTGCCCTAGAAATTAAGAAGGAAGACCTTGGGAAACCATGTATTCAGTTACCATCACCTCTGGAGGTCACAATCATGCTTTGGTTCTGCTCTGAGCCCCATCACCGTAGCAACCAACACTCCCTCATGTCTGATGGCCTGATAAAGGAAGAAGAAGAGAAGGATTCCTGGTTTAGCCTGTGCTGATGAGTGTGCCAAGAGGTAAACTCACGGTTTGCATGTACCCATTCTTGGACAAAGGTATTATCAATGCTTTTCTACGCATCTTCGGAAATATCAGAGTGGCCAAAATTGTTTGCACGGTGAAGAGGTATCAATGTCAGTAGGGTCTCACAACACCAAATAAGAAAGCTCTGGGGGCAAGGCAAGGAACAATGGAATCACACACTGTAAAATCAGAACCATATCAAGGACTGAATGCAAGTTAAGTTAGACTGCAGGCTGTGTTAGATGGTCAAGCAGGAACCACATGGGGAAGGGAGAAGACATGGTACTGAAGACCAGGGAGTTAGCCCAACTCTGTGCTTCCCGGTTTGAATCAGTTCAGGTCATACATTTGCATGAATTTGTCTTCCTAAAAACCAGGAACATTACTCTGAATATCTGCAGGAAGAGTTTAGAGAGTTCAGTCACTTCCTATCTGATCTCATCTATTTCAGGCCCTTTATACCAGGTACTTGAGTCCTAAAGCTTTCTTTCAGTCTGTTCAATATTATTGAGTGACTGCTCTTTGCCACACGACATCCTGTGTATGGAGGAAACAAAAATACTTTGGTACACCCTGTCTAACCTGGAGGAGGAGTCTTACTGGGATGGTACAGGCATCTGGTTCCTGACCACAGCTATATCCTGTTTGGCGGTTCGTGAATGACCAAATATTCCACAGCTAATGCTAAGCTTATCCTGACTTGTGAATGTGCTGCTTACATCCTTCCTCTCCTGGAAGCTGGGAGAATGGTTCATGGCTGACTACAAAGAGGCCTTGAATGTGAGCTCCCATGGGGTTTCCTATTCCAGATACTTCTCCTGTCACTGCCTTCCCTTTTGGGGCCATGTTTATCATCAGGGGTGCAGGTACTCCTAATCTCATAGAAAGTCTTGAAGAGCAAGGTCTGGAATTCATTGGAGCCACAGATCTCTTTGGGAATCCTAGGAAGGCTGTGCAATCTGTCTCTAGGTAAAAGATGACAATATGAACTTGATTTTGAGTACAATTCTAGGAAATTTTTGTCTTACAACTTGGACCTCAGGTTAGGATCTCTTTCCCTAAATTATAGCAGATAAAATCAAGAGTGAGAAAGTAAAATTTAGATTGAGAAGAAGCCTGAGATATGATAAAATTAGAGGAAAAGAATATATTTTAGAATCACCAAGCAAGAAACTAATCCTGCAAAATACTTTGTGTTATAGCATAAGACTGTATGCCATGACTGGAAGGAAGGACTTAGAACACTGAGATGGTGACAGCCATGGAATGACACTATGGGAGAATTCTAGGCCTTTTTAAAATCTGAGCAGAGAGGTGAGTTGGTCTGTTGTCAGTGGTCCAACTCATCATCCCATTGGGGTTAGAACTAAGGCAACTTGATTATTAAGATGCTGTCATTTCATTGTGCCTGAGTCTGCCATTGCTAGCCATATTCAGTTCCTCCCCCTTGCTATATTAAAGTTGATCTGGAGCTGTAGTTCACTGACATCTATTCTCTAGCCTCCTTAGGTGTGGCTGTAGGCCAAGTATTTACTAAACAGTTGGAAATACGTGTGACTTCTGAGAAAAGTGTGTAGCAGTAGAGAATAAGTTCCTCTTTTGCCTGCCAGCCCTTCCTATTTCCCTTACTTCCTTTACTTCCTCTTCCTTCCCTCTTGGGTCTGGAACACAGAAATGATGGTTAGAGCTCCAGCAATCCAGCACGTACAATGAGGTAACTCTGTAGAGCCACTTACAATATGGATCCAAGCAGCACAAAGAAACCTATATCCTTGGTAACTTTCAAACTGAAGGATGTCTTTAATGAGAGAAAGAAATTCTCCCATGTTGACTACTGTGGCTCTCCTTAGGCTTTTGTTTCCTACTGATGTGGCAGGTATAACACATCTTTACCTTCAAAGGTAGCACACATGAGGAGAGCTTAATAAGACCCTCTGTTGTCTAGGAACGATTAGAGAGAGAAAAGAACCAGCAGTCTGATCTCAACTGGTCACAGGGACCTGTGGGTGATGAGAGATGTATGCATTGTACCTTGTACACATAGGCTTTTAAGACTACAGCCATTATATCCTTCAGAACCACTCTATAGGATGGATATTATTGTTCCTAATTTCCTGATGAAGAAACTAAGATTCAGAGAAATTCTGGGATGTGTGTTAATATCTCATGTGTGTTAATATCTCACAGTTAGTCTGTTTCGAAGCTAGACCTGCCAGTCCTTCCCATCACAGCTGCTTTTCCAGGACAAATGAGAACTGCCTACTGCAGGCTCATCTCTCACAGCCTGCCCAGTGCAGTACTATGAGTGATAACTCCAAAGGAAATTTCTCCTATGTAACTTTCATGGAAGTAAAGCACTCAGTGCTTGAAGTCAGAACCTCATGGCAAAGAGTTGTGATTGATCGTGCCATTACGATTATGTATTGTGCTCAGCTGTTTGACGCTAGGCTGTTGTTTATATTTGGGCTCTGGTCAGTCTGCACAATTGTTCTTGGTGGACTTGTTTTTGAAGAGAAGAGTAGTACAGGCCAAGGAAAATTACACATATGCAAATGGTTTTTATTTTTTGTTTGTTTGCTCGTTTGTTTGATACTCACTGGTCCTTGGTTGAATGAATAGATTTCAAAGCTGCATGCAGAAGCAAGTATGAAAACACAGGCAGTCATGTTGTTTACAGCCAGCCCTGTGGTACTGCCACTTGAACAAGGACACTGGATAGTTCTTTTTAAGGAACTATGCAGATAAGGACACCGTCGGCTTATGCCTGTAATCCTAGTTATTCTATTTGGGAGACTGAGATCTGAGGATCGTAGCTCAAAGCTGGTCAGGCAAAGTCCATTAGATACATATCTCTAATTGACCAGCAGAAAGCTGGAACTGGAACTGTGGCTCAAGTGGCAGAGTGCCAGCCTTGAGCAAAAAAGCTAAGAGACAGTGTCTAGGCCCTGAGTTCAAGCCTCAGTACCAACACACATATACACATATGCAAAAAGGACTACATAAAGGGATATAGTAATTATTCTCTATTACTCAAGGCAAACTCAGCGAGGACAGGTTTAAAAAAGAACATAAAACCAACTAAATCACACTGTGCCAAAGAAAGATTCTTTTGCCATTTTTTTTCCCCCAGACTTAGTTTTAACATCATTCCCATTGAAGACGGGATTGCCACAGGGGAAAAATGTTGCCTGGCTTTACAACACTGGGGCATTTCATGCTTTTCTAGTGGGACTGGCTTAGGACAATTTCTAGGTAATAGTTATTACTTCCTCAGACAGTGCTCTGTCTCTACAACTGACAGAAATGATTTCACTATTTTAAATAACCTTCTCTATCGATCTGTTAGAATCAGATCATATTTTATAAATGCCTACTGTTCAGTTGAGAGGCAATTACTGTGTGTCATTTAGCTGGATTGGCCTTGACCTCAGATGGCTGGGACATCAGTTTAGTGTTTTGTAGCTGAGCTGAGGTAAAAGAAGAGCCCGGACTTTTTATTTCATCAACATGGAGTAGGGGAGCATTTGTAAGAGCTTTCTGGTTGACAGAAAGCTACCAGGAGACCACCAGGTCATAAACAACTCAAAGGGATGGTGAGTTCCTTAATACCTTTAGATTGGCTGCATATTGGGAAACCACAGCAAGGGGTCTATAAAACACATACTTGAAGACACTGGATGGGTTCAGTGCCTACATTGTTATGGGTACTTGAGCCTTAGTGGATAAATGCCTTTTACTCTGCTTTTTCTGGTTTATTTTCTTTTTTTGGGGGGGGGTCCGGTCGTGGGGCCTGAACTCTGGGCTTGGGCGCTGTCCTTCAGCTCTTCAGCTCAAGGCTAGCGCTCTACCACTTGAGCCACAGTGCCACTTCTGGCTTTTTTCTTTTTGCTTATGTGGTGCTGAGGAATCGAACCCAGGGCCTCAGGCATGCAAGACAAGCGCTCTACCACTGAGCCACCTTCCCAACCCTTGTTGAGTTAAAACAAACTGTACTTTTTAATTTAAATTGTTCCTTAGTGTTAGACACTACAAATAGCATTCTGGTTTGCATAAACTTATAATTAGCACATTATAGTGCTTGTGCTTGCTGTTAGATTTTTATTCCACAAGTCAAAGTACAGTAGGCCTTGCAAAGATGAATTCTTTGTTTGAGGAGATCAACCAAGCAGTTCTGTCTCTGATCTGGATTTTGGGATCTGGATGGAGATGGAAGGGAAAAACTGGGTGGAAGGGGTAACACTGTCCAAAATGAAACATACTGTTTTCTGACTTATGTGACTATAGGCTTTTTTATATCACCTTTATGATAACAATGACAAATAGTTTAAAAACCTAAAAAAAAATTGTTTCACAGCTTTTCTGGAAAAAAAAAATCTCAGGGATCACCATAGATATTCCATGAATTTACACCTGACTTGTGAGCAAGAAGCATGAAACCATTTGTGGTTTTCAATCAGTTGAATTTTTTATACTTTTTAGCTTTAAAACCTTCACTTACCACATTTAATACTAAAACTTTGCCAATGTTTGTTTTAAATTAACCAAAGAAGCAAGAATCCTTAATTAATTAAAACGTTCCTGAATGTAGTTCCATTTAGGAACATGCATGAACAATATGTAATATTCAAATGCTCTTTTGATTTTGTGGCAGGTCAAGTTTTGCTTTAGAAAAACTAAAATAGTTTGAGCTTCAATAACTTGTGTTCTATCTTGATGTCAAGTGGAATTTCTCATTGTAAACAATACTACTGATATACCTGAATTCATATTTCAGAGTCTACTTTGCCATGAATGGGGTAGGAATGGGGTGTAGCTAGGTGGTCGAACATGTGGTTAACATGTATGAATGCTGTGTATCTGGTCCTAGCACAGTATTTTACATAAATAAACTAATAAATAAGCAAGTAAATAGGTAGCTAGCTTCTGAATATTACAATTGATGCATTATCATTCTTATGCTATTATTAGAATGTTGTAATAATTTGTTTCATTATTTTCTCCATGTATACTTTAATCAAATGCAGTACCATGGATAGTAGCAAACATTGTCATTTGTGTTCAGAGAAAGTAGTTCCTAGGCTCCGATGACCTTCATATCTTGTTACCTGTTCTTATCTCTAGTGAGGGCACCCATATGCAGAGAAAGCTTTGGAGGTGATTATAAGAAAGTTATTTGGGGCTGGGAAGGTGGCTCAGTGGTAGAGCGCTTGCCTTGCATGCCTGAGGCCCTGGGTTTGATTCCTCAGCACCACATAAGCAAAAAGAAGAAAGCTACTCACGTGCTATTTGTAACCCCAGAACTTCAGAGTCATTTTTATATAAATTTAGAAGAACCTATGGGTTGGTGGTATGGCTCAAGTGATAGAGTACTTGCCTAGCAAGAATAAGGCTCTGAGGTTCAAATCTCAGTACTACTCCCAAGATATACAAGAACTTAGAATAAATGAAAGTCTGCCCCCATAATTAAGTATGGAAACAATGTCAAATTCAGCAAAATAATAAATTATTTTGGAAGGCATATACAATGTATCAGTACCAGCTGAATTTTGTTTTAGAACTTTTTTGGGGGAGGGGGGAGTCATGAGGCTTGAACTCTGGGCCTGGGCACTGTCCCTCAGATCTTCAGCTCAAATCGAGCGCTCTATCACTTGAGCCACAGTGCCACTCCCAGTTTTCTGGTGGTTAACTGGAGATAAGAATCTCACGGTCTTTGCTGCAAGGTTGGCTTTGAATTGTGATCCTCAGATCTCAGCCTTCTGAGTAGCTAGGATTACAGGTGTGAGCCACTGGCACCCAGCTGTTTCAGAACTTTTAGTTAAGCAATAGGTTGATTGGGTTGATTTGTGGCTTTCTGGCAGCTTTAATTACAAAGGAAACAGGGCCTAAGTGATTAGAATCAATGTCTCAGAAGAGAAAAGGATACCACAATCACAGCCCAAAGTGTGATATACTATTCAGAGAGGAGGGTTTATCACTGTGAAATTTCACACTGAATTTTGAAAGCTAGAGTTACTGTTTGTTTCTCATATACTTATTAAATTACATTTTTTTCAATTCAAGAACAGTTTATCAAGAATCTACTATGAAACCAGAACTGTGACAAAGCCAAGATATTATAAGAAAACTGACTTAAAAATACTATTGGAACTTTAATGAAACTATTAAAATTGGGCTTTTAAATCAATTAGCTAGAGTTAAACATCATGATGGCATATATGACAAGAATCTATGAGACTTACATATTGGTATTGGCAGTTGATGTCAGCCATTCACCAGCTAAGCCAATGATATCCAATCCAGTGGAGAGCTGGTTGAAAAATCGAGGATGACCTAAAAAGGTAACAGGCAAGCATCAAGGAAAATCCGCAGACTTCAAGCTATATTCAGAGCTAAAGGCCTGATCTACAAGACCACATTGATGAGGTCTCCATTCTGTGTTCTCATTGGGCTGTACACAGATATGGAGAAGGAAGTGCAGGTTGATCCACCTGTACTAACCAAGTGGTAGCATGCATACATAGCACCTTCAAATCATGGTACTGCTAACATATGAATGAATTGAATGAAGGAATGAATGAATAAAGTACTGTGCTTTCAAATTAAAAAAACATGAATATGACAAAACTAATTATGCTCTCCAATAATTTTTTCTTAATTTCCAGGTGAACTCCTCTGTCACATTAACTTTTGAGTTACACAAAGCATATGGTAGTCTTAATTTTTTAATATATCTGTTTCAACTTTCAAGTCAAATCCTGAGGAACTGAATCCCCAGATCAAGATTTTTTTCTGGTGGAGAAGAGGATGCTGATCTCAAGAAGGGTTCTTAGGTCTGTGAACCAAACCAAGCCTGGAGAAAGCACCAGCTCTGACGCTTTATGCCATTCCATTACTCTCCAGGTCTCTGACAGATGTGACATGAAGTAGCAGTGTGTTTTGCCTATGTGGAGTCACATGCCCCTTAGAGTAGCTGAGCTGATTGATTGCTGAGCCAATCGAGCATCTCCTCTGCAGAATGGGCAGAGCAGAGCCAGTCCTTACTCACTTGCCCAGCCAACAGGGGAGGAACTGTCACTGCTGCACAACTTGAAAGCCCCGTGCAATGCCTGGGATGCTTTAACTGGAGATGCTTTCAGCAAATGCAGGACTATTGCCAAGTTTTTGCCGCCTTGCATTCACCAAAAACCTCAACTCTGCAGCAGCAGGCTTGGCTTAGCTGTCACGAAGAAATCAACACAATAGATTATCTAGGGATGTGTGACAGAGAACCAGTGTTAAAGAGATTTGCTGACTACTATGTTTTCAGTAGAAAATTGCTTTTGCCTCTGAAATAACTGTCAGAGAGCTAGTGTTTGAGTGTTTCTGGTCTAACTTCCTTCCCTGAGAACCTATCTTGCCTAGATCTGAGGGACTCTCATTCTGAAAACTGGACTATGGTTTCTTAGAAGATACCATTCCTTGCACCACAAGACTCTTCCAAAAATAAAACTGATTTCCAGAAAAAAAAGTATTATGAACAGATAATTTGATGTGAATATAGCACCAGATTTGGGGCCAGATTCCAGATGCTTTTGTGGACTGGTCTAAGAAGCTTACACTATTCTATTTTACTCCACTTTGCTTAGTGACAATCTATAAGATATGCTGTAACAACAAATCTTGAAGAAATTTACTAAAGGTATATGCATAGCTGGGCACCAGTAGCTTATTCCTGTAATCCAAGCTACTTAGGAAGCTGAGGTCAGAAGATTGAGATTCAAAGCCAACCCTGAGCATGAAAGACCTTGAGACTCAGCTCCAATTAACCACCATAAATCCAGAAGTGTTAGCTTGAACTGTGGCTCAAGTGGTAGAGTGCCATCTTGAGCAAAAAAGGTAAGGAAAGTACCCAGGCTCTGAGTTCGAGCCCTAGAACTGATGCGCGCATGCACATATGTGTTTAAACAGTATCTATTTCACAACTTTAAAACACAAATCTTTTGTCTTAAAATAGGACTGAAGCATAAACATACACAATAAAAACAATCACACTTCATGTGATGATGCACTAAGCCCACATAGTATGGCAGAGTCATACATATGAACAGCGCAGAGACGGACCCAAATTGTAACAACATCTCTTTGGCCATTGAAACGTAAGGTACAAATCCACTCCTCCCCCCCAAACCCTTTGGCATAGGGCTACAATCTTCTTTCTTAAAATCGCCCACCAGAATTTCTATTAAATAAAAATCTAGCTTAGAATTCAATTTGTTTTTGTTTTATGTTTTTGATACAAGATCTTGTTATGTTGCACAGGCTACCCTGGGGAACTCTATTAGAGCCCAGGTTGGCCTTGAGCTTGAAATCTTCCTTCCTCAGCCTCCCAGATACTAAGTTTATAGTCATAACTCACCATACATGGCCCTAGATTTCAACTTCAACTCTGTATTCAATGAATGTAACAGATGATAAAACAGGACATGGGTAAGCAGGTGACCCATGTCAGGTAAGGGGTTGGAGAGAAAGAAAGACTTGTGGGATTTCTTAAGTTAGATTTTTAACAAATATTTGCAAGGGGAAAAAAGAGTTGGAGAAGGAAATCTATTATTTAGAAGACGTATTAACCAACTTCAGTGTAAGGACTTACTTAGAAACTGATTCAAATGCATTAAAACAAAATATGACCTTTTTTTTTTTTTTTTTGTCGGTCGTGGGGCTTGAACTCTGGGCCTGGGCGCTGTCCCTCAGCTCTTCAGCTCAAGGCGAGCGCTCTACCACTTGAGCTACAGCGCCACTTCCGGTTTTCTGGTGGTTTATTGGAGATAGGAGTCTCACGGTCTCTCCTGCCCGGGCTGGCTTTGAACCTCGATCCTCAGATCTCAGCCTCCTGAGTAGCTAGGATTACAGGCCTGAGCCACCAGCGCCCGGCCAAAATATGACCTTTATGACATTCATGAGACAACTGAGAAATTGAACACTGAATACTGTATCATATTAAAGAATATAGACTTTAGCTTTTTAACAAAACAATAAATCATGATACTGTAGTTATTTTTTAAAGAGTTCTTAAGGATAAATAATACATTGCCAACATCCCCGTGCAGAATGCATCCACAGCAGTACCTTTTCACCAGAAAAACCCAATTTACTATTTTGGCTGAGTATTAATAAACAAATATCTTTAAAAATTCCACCAAAAGCCAAGCACCAGTAGTTCATGCCTGTAATCCTAGGAGGCTGAAATCTGAGGATTGAGATTGAAAGCCAGCTCAGACAGACAAATCGTATCTTCAATTAACCAGCAAAATGGCTCAAATGACAGAACACCAACCTTGTGCAATAAAGCCAGACAATAGTGCAAGCCCCAGAATTTAAGTCTCAGTAGCAGCGCACACACACACACATGCACATACCCTCTCCCCATATACATACACACAGAACCATCAACAGGGAAATACCCTGAAGTACAACATAGAATTTAAAGTTTTCCAGTGCTTGGAAGATCATAAACTCTGTAAATGCAAATATCTGCTTCCCAAAGTTGCTCTAAATATCAGAGATGGATAGATAGTTGCAGACTAAATATCTAAGTGATTTATACGCTCAGCCAATGACACGTTTCTCTACCCATGAAACATTTCATTTTTGAGATATGAGATGCTGTTATGACAAAGTCATGTGTTTTTCTTTAAGGGACAACACCATTTTTGTAGCTAATGATGAATGTAAGAGGTACCTATCTCTTTGAGGAAGTGTGTGTGGAAAAAAACTGAAAAACAAAGCTGGTTGCTGGTGGCTCACGCCTGTAATCCTCGCTACTCAGAAGGCTGAGATCTGAGGATGGTGGTTCAAAGCCAGCCCGGGCAGGAAAGTCCGTGAGACTTTTATCTCCAATAAACCACTAGAAAACGGGAAGTGGCCCAAGCAGTAGAGCACTCATCTTGAGCTGAAGAGTGCAGGGACAGCACGCAGGCCCAGGGTTCAAGCCCCACGATCAATCAACGCCCCCCCCAAAACCCCTGAAAAACATTGGGCCAAAACTTTTCCTTCCAGAACATTGGAAGGAAGCAAATCAAGGAAGAAATATACGTGGGGAATTGATTCATTTTTTTCTTTGTAGTGCTGGGGTTTGAACTAAGATCTCTTCTTGATAGGCAGGAATTCTACCACTTAAGTCATGCTCCATAGCCCCTTCTTATTTGCTCTAGTTGGTCTTCCTGGATAAGGTTTCATAATTCTGACTAGAGTTAGCTTCAGACCTCCATCTTCCTAAGTATACTTCTTAAGTAGCTAGATCATAGATGTGAGCCACCATACCTTGGTTGAGTTAAGTTTTGCTAATTTTGGCCCAGGTTGGGCTCAACCTGTGAGCATCCAAATCTTACTTCCTGAGAGGCTAGAATTACAGATTGTGTACCACCACACCTAGAAATTATTTTTTTTGGGGGGGGGAAGGGCATGTCCTGATTTATACATTTCACCCAGCAATTTTTTATTTCAGCCAAATACTACTACTTACTTTCCATCAGGAATAAGTTAGTTATTAGAAAAATGTGAAATATACATAAATTGATAACTACTTTACTAATTAAACAAAGAGACTGCATAGTATTTAATGAAACTTTCCTTGGTCCAATGGTATTGGCAGACATCAAAAACTATTGAGATTCCTAATTTAAAAAAATATTTGGCCAGCCTCATTAATCCATTGCATACATTGGTTTTGACATCTAATAGCCTTACTCAGCTTTATCTCCACCATCTTTCTCAGTCCTGATCTTAAATCTATCTTCTAATGACTGAGAAGAGTAAAAGGTAACATAAAAGACAAAGAAAGAGAAAGAAGTGGAAAGAACAAGGGCCTGCCAGTTGTGGTCTTGGGGCTTCCCCAGTGGTGGCAACTGTACCAAGAACTGCCAGTTCCCTTCCACTGCCAGGCTGTGGAAGGGAAGATAGAAACTACTTTACTTCTGTTAAGAGACAGCTCAGACAGCGATCCAAAAGGTCCCTGGATTTGATACAACTGGAAAGTAAGCCCTTTACTGATTAGAGAACAGTCCTCTAATGTGAAAAGGGAGCAAGAAGACAACCTTGCAATCTTGCATTTTCAACTAGTTGAAAATAGGATTTGGGTGGCTGGGAAGGTGGCTCAGTGGTAGAGCACTTGCCTTGCATGCATGAGGCCTTGGGTTCGATTCCTCAGCACCACATAAGCAGAAAAAGCCAGAAGAGCTGTGGCTCAACTGGTAGAGTGCTAACCTTGAGCTGAAGAGCTGAGCGACAGTGCCCAGGCCCAGAGTTCAGGCCCAATGAAACAAAAAAGAGAAAATAGGATTTGGTCACTCTAAACTCCAGAGATTAGAGTAGCATGTGGAAGGAGAGAGAGAGACAGACAGAGAGAGAGAGAGAGAAAGAGAGACAGACAGACAGACAGAGACAGACAGACAGAGACAAAGACAGAGAGAGAAAATATTGATTGATGGTGTTTTGAGGTTAACCATTCTTCTCAAAAAGATAAGCTCAAGAAGCAATCCCTTGTTCCTGTAATTATGGCCTTACTAGAAAATAGAGTCTTCATACTGTAATCAAATTAATATCAAGTCATGCTAGATTAAGATGAGCCTTAACTTAAAGACTAGTGTCTTGTTTTTTGAAAGTGGTAATGGAGTTTGAACTCTGGGACTTTCACTTGCTAGGCAGACGCTCTGAGGCAGAGCCATGCCTCCAGCCCCATTATCCTTTTGACAAGAGGCAATTTAAATATACTTTTGAAAGTGAAGGTAGAGGTAGGACTGATGCGGCTCCACACCAAGGAATGCTAAGCAGATGCTCACAATTCCCAGAAACAGATAAAGCTAATCATGGATCCTCTCTGGGAATCTCCAAAGAACCTCCAAAGACAGCATGGCCCTGCCAACACCTTGATTTGAGTTTCAAGACTCCAGAAGTGTGAGAGGGTAGATTTCCATTGCTTGAAATCACCCAGATTCTGATCATTTGTAATCACAGCCTGAGGAAACTAATTCAGAAAAAGGAAGAACATGGACCCAAACATCTAGTGTCAGTGATAGGCAAGTCTAAGGAGGAATGAACAGAATGAAGCATGCATGAATGTGGAGAGAAGGTGACCAAACAAGCCGAGTAGCCTAAAGCAACAAAAAAGGGAACTTTGACCTATTATCATGTACCTGTAGCTCTTTAAGCTTTTACAAGAAATGATGACACAACACACTCTTGCTGGGATTGATTCAGCTGCTGCCACCCAGAGCTGCTCTTGGGGGCAGTACTGTGCCACCTCCCCTCAGCAGGTCCACGCTTCTCCTCCAGCATGCCTTGCCCTCACCACTGGCCAGGGTGAGATGGAGGGAAGGTCACTCCCTGCCTATCCTGCTGGCTCTCACTCTTACCTGTGCGAACCCCGTACTTGAGGGTGTCTCTGCAGTCAACCAGGATCTGCTCCAGGGATTCCGGGTGGTCAGAGAGTTCCAAGTTAAAACCCTCCATGCCTTCCAGCAGCTGGTGTGGGTGGTGGAAGTCCAGCACCTTGGTGGAGCGATCGAACGTCTTGCGAACATAGTTGAGGAGTATGTCTACCACTTCCAGTAGGAACTGCACAGTCTGCTCTTCCCCGTTCTTAGCTGGAAGCAGGTCTAATGGAGGAAAGCCAAAGAGATGTGATCCCTTCCTCATACCTGGTTTCCTGGGTCCAGAGATCCCTAATATCAGCCTTGATACCCTGACAGGCCTAACTACATTCCAGGATGTGTATATATCTGTGCTGAGAATCAGACATGCATTGCCTGACTTGGCCTTAATGCTGTGCTCCATCTGTTGGTAGCAGAGGATAAAGCTTCTGTGGCAAGAGAGTGTGTTCTTCCTAGCATACTCAGATAGTAACTTAGAACTTGGCTCAAGATGGTAAGACACGGGACCCCTAACTTGACCTTAACATCTGGGCCTGGATCCTGAGATGTATGGAGGTGACTTAGGGCTAAGGCACTGCTAAACAGAGTCAGGTAGAGTGGTAAAGCCAGGGAGGAGAGCTGTGTAGGACTCCAACAACTGTGGAGGTGTCAGTTCTAGTACAGGGCAGGCTGTTGGGCTATATATAGGATACTCTGTCTGTTCCCTGGGCAGTCAGAGGTTTCAGTGTTCTGGTCTGGCTTTGGTGGCCCAATAGGAATTGCCAGAAGTTGTAGTGGTGGGTCTACCTTTGAGCTGCCAGAAAAATGCTAACCAAGATGAGCAGTTGAGGGCAGCAGCAGTGAGGGACAGAGCTCGTGAGGAAAATGAGTCTCACAGTTTTTGATTATGTGGCCCATATGGTGAGCTTCTCATAGGGTAGCTTGGAGGGAGCAATATTGGAGGATAAATGTGTTAGAAATCATTGTAATTATTTTTACATGTTAGATTCCTTTAGATTCAGAGATTTTACAAATTTATATTTATCTCTGCATGTATCTTTAGAATTGGTTATTTGTGTGTGTGTGCCAGTACTCAGGGCCTGGACACTGTCCCTTAGCTTTTTCTCTTAAGGTTGGCATTATACTATTTGAGCCATAGCTCCATTTCTGACTTTTTGGAGGCTAATTGGGGATAAGAGTCTCATAGACTTTCCTGTCCTGACTGGCTTTGAACTGTGACCTTCAAATCTCAGCCTCCTGAGTAGCTAGAATGACAGGCATGTGCCATTGGCATCTGGCTTGAAATTAGAGATTTTTGTTGTGATTTTTTTTTTCTTCTGCAAGTACTGGGTATTATCTTAGGTCTTTGCACCTGCCAGGCAAGTGCTCTCTTACTTGCGCCACACCCCCAGGTAGAATTGTTTTACAAACTTTCCTCTTTTACCTTCTGAAACAGTGAAAGCAAGGCACTAGAGAAAAGAGTCTGAAAAGCAGTTTTGTGAGCTGTATGAACTCACTGTGAATAATGCTCTTTCTTGGTAAAAGGAGTAAAATGTCAGGGACAAAAAGTCAGGACATTTGCATTAGGAAGCAACTAGCTAGCACCATGTATATATGGGGGTGGGTGAGCTAGGGAGGGATCACCTCGAGCAAACAGGTTGGAGAAGTCGGTCTCTGTGCGCCGGAAGCGAGCATCACGGTCACTGTTTTCACAGGAAAGCAGGTTCTTGGAGGACTGCCTCTCTTTGAAGGCACTCACAAGACGACTCTTCTCTTCCAGGCTGTTGGTTCTCTGCAAGAAGCCTAAGGCAGAGGAAGCTGGGTCAGAGAGACTGGAAACTACCCAACCAGCAAGGGTCAGCTGCTGGATCAGTCTGCTCCAAGCAGGGCTCTTGTTTTTGCTGGGAATCCCAGTGAGTATCCATGCTTTCCATCTAGTGGCTCTGGCCCTGCTCTGTTTCAGGCCGAGAGGGGCAGTGCCAAGTGTCATCAGTAGTACAGGCCCAGTCATGCAAGAGAGAAACAGTAAGTTAGGCCCATTCTCTTCCCTGAATGTGACAGCAAACTCGGGATTAAGTCAAATGGACAGCTTCCACTCCAGTAACCAGCCTCAGGATGGAATTTGGAAGGAAGGGACCCTCAGAGAGGATGTGGCCAGTGCTGAATTTATGTGCTGTGCAATCAGAGGAAGGAGGGGGAGGTCAGCAATGGGAAGAGGGGGAGAGCTATAGAATGAGAAAAGGATGAGGACTGTAAAGGAAGGAAGAAGGTGAAGACAGGAGGGGAAAGAGGGTGGGGACAGCAGAGGAAAGAGGAAGATGAAGACAGGGGAGGGAAGAAGAAGCTGAGGTTCTGGGAATTTGGGAAGATGCTTTCTTCTGTCACTAGCTAACCTTCAGGGCAGAATATGTAATTTTACTGAACCAACCCTATAACGCAGTTTTTTCCCCCTACAAATGCCTCTTGATTCTTCTTCTCCCTCATTAATAAAGGTATTGGAAGAAAAGAAATATTTAAATCATATGGGTGTTGACATTTAATTCTACAAGGACTAGATGAGCAGTGGGTGTGGAAAAGCAGTCTTCTATGAAGTCAGACAGGAAGATGAAGATAAATGAGAGGCACAGACATCCCCTCCAGGAGCTTACAGTCTGACAGATGGAAACTACAATTGTAATAAAGATAGGAAGTTACTAAGAACTCAACAAATTCTAAGGCCAGAGTCTGATCTTAGGGGGGTATTCACAACACCTCTAAGAATCCCTGAAAAGGAGAAATCTCTTCCCTGTAGGACTACAAAAAAAAAAAACCCACCATCTGCAAATGAGCAAGGTGGAGCCAAAGGGCTTAGAGAATATGTCAGCTTCCAGTCCCTCCTCCGATCTCTCTGGTCTCCCAGCCTTCAAGGCCACTCTCTTCTTATCATCTCCTTAGTGCAGCCTCAATCCTAGGACTAAAGGGAGCACCCTGAAAAAAAAAGGTGGGGGGAATCACAAAGCTTCTTGGTGACCTGAAACCTGTCTTTGTAGACACAAAGGTCCTTGGGGAATCACAGTTATCATTAGATAGGCTTGGAAGAAATTCCCAGGAGGTGCAAAGGAAAGCAAGTTAATCTGGGAATTCAGCTCTACTTCCCTAGGACACAGTTCAGTGGTGCTGGGTGGCAGAGGGATGCAGGAGAAGGCTGATTAGAGTCCTCCCACACACAGGAGCCAGAGTCTATTTTTGGAGGGAAGAAAAGGAAGGCAGAAACACCTGGCCCTTCACAGTTCCCAGAGCCTTTTAAACTTGCCATCAAAACCCCAAAGGACGCCAGAAGGAGGAAGGTAAGCTATAATTGAGTTGCGTACTTGGGTACAGAGATGGAATATAACCTTTGCCTTCCTTCTATGTTCCCCCTCTTCCAAATCCCCAGAGTTCAGAAGCAGGCTCATTTGCAGGAGGGTTGATCACCTGCCTCCCAAATCCTGATGCTGTTCCCCTAGTCTTAGAACAGTAGTTATGAAATTCATTAGGCTGGAGAGACCGTGTGGTCTGCCCTGCCCACCTATGTAGTCCCCAACTTCTGACCTCCACTGGATTCTGACTCACTTCTGGGAAAGCCTTAAGTCCCTGAACCTCAAAATCCCTTGGAACCCGCTTCAGGAATAAAGTCTAAGTTTAGGATTTGGATATTGTGTCTGGTTTACATTGAGTTTCTTCTAGAAATCTCCTGATAAAGTTGAGAGATGCCAATATGACATAGCTTTGGACTCACATCACATTGCTGGACATTTCCTATAATGCACTAAGAATCAGAATTTTATCTAGATTCTGTGATGGTATTATGGGTAGCACACTTATATTGAAAAATAATTTGTCTTAAAAGCCACTATGTGTTATGGTAAACAATATACATACATACAAACACAGATCTTGCTATCTGTTCACAGCTAATTCTCTATCACTTGACCCACAACTCCATTTCTGCCTTTGTGTTGGCTAACTGAAGATAAGAATCTCTTGGATTTGTCTGCCCTCACTGGCTTTGAACTTTAATCCTCAGATCTCAACCTTCTGCATAGTTAGAATTACAGGTGTGAGCCACTGGCACCTGGCTTCAGCTAATGCAACTTTTTTTTTTGTCGATCATGGGGCTTGAACTCTGGGCCTGGGTGCTGTCCCGAAGCTCTGCAGCTCAAGACTAGCGCTCTACCACTTGAACTACCATGCCACTTCCAGTTTTCTGGTGGCTTATTGGAGATGAGAGTTTCACGGACTTTCCTGCCCCAGCTGGCTTTGAACCGTGATCCTCAGATCTCAGCCTCCTGAGTAGCTAGGATTACAGGCGTGAGCCACCGGAGCCAGCTAATGCAAAGTTTTAAGGTACATTGTCATTTCTTTTACTTTGCTTAGGAAGGCTTTGATTTTCTAAAATACTGGGATCCTTACAAGTGAGTGATCTGGAAGCAGCCATCTCTTTTAAGAATGAAGAGGAGGGTGCTCTGACAACATTCCTGGCTACAGAAGAGTTCTCTTGGAGCAGGAATTCCTGAGACAGGGGCAAGCTTAACTTTACTTCTGTCTGTACTCCAGCTGCAAGACCCTAATGTCAGTCTATGGATAACTGGTCAGGAGACTCCACATTCTGAGGATAAAGAGAAAAGCTGAGGAGGGCTACCTTGCAATTGCAGAGATACAGAATTCTTGAGGTCTATTTTTAAAAATTGATGAATCAAAATCAAACACATCCATGTAGTGTGGACTAAATAATATGACTCAGGATAGCAATCAACAAGTGTGGGACCTCTGAATAAATAAGTAATGGAGGCCCAAAGATGCACTGAATTTAGCCAGAATTTAGGGCTCCTTGGGACCCATTCTATGTAAGTCTTGCCATCAGGCCACAGCTACTGTCCAGCTCTTGACAAACCATAGGTTTCTTCTGTCTGATTTCACTTCCAGGGAGGTACTACCTCCAGAGCTAAGGGTACAACCCAGGACCTACCTGCAGCTTCACTCTTTGGACTGTGGGGAAGAAGAGGAGGGTGGATGGGGTTTGAATTTGGCAAGGCACTGAGGATGTCACACAGGGGAGTATGTGGCCCAGAGAAAAGGACTTGAGGGTGGGAAGAGGACCACCATTCCTATGCTGTCTTAAAGTGAAAATAAAATAAATCAACTTTGGTACCTTTGGGTCAAGAATGCTTCAGCAGGTACCTTGAGGGTCTGGGAGAGAGGGACTGTGTGTGGTGTGTATGGGTTAGGAGGGCGTTGTACAACCAGGATCAAAATGAAGGACTGAACTCAGCTCCCAGTGTATTAAAATGGAAAGCCAGAGTTGGCCTTAAAGCATGGGAAAGAAATCCTCATGAAGTTGTGTTCGCTTTTCAGAATCAAAGCTAATGGGAACTTCCTAATCTGTGGCCCCAAAGGCACAGCGTTTGAGCAGTAGGTAATTTCCCCTCAGGTAGGTAATTTCCCCGCTTCTCCTGTCACTCAGGTTGTAACTTTCCAGAAACTAGTGTTGGGGTGTCTATGTATGGGAGGGGTGTAGCGGAGCAGGGAAGAAACAACCCAGGAACTCTCTTCCCCCAAGGCTTTGGCTGATAGCTAGATGGGGCAGCTGGTGGCAATTTAGGGTCTCCTAGTTTCTCAAACCCAGCAGAGCTGGGTCCGGTCCTGCCCTGCTCCGGGGCAGCGGAGGACGGCGCCCCGGCGCGCGCGCGTGCTCGGTTAACTTTACCCTTTGAGGACAAGTGCTGAGTCCCCAGAAGCGGCGCTGGGACGCAAGGGTCCCCTCACAAGAGCATCAAGGCGTTGGGGCAGGAGAGGGTGGCCGGGGACTCCCTGCACGTTCCCATCCTCCCTCAGGACCAGGATCGCAGGGCAGATGGCCTTCACCCCGAGCCCGTGCCTACAGTCCTCGGTCCCGGGGAGGCTGGGGCCCTCTCTCGCAGTGGCCCGGCTGCGTGAACAATGACGGCTGCCGAAGGCGAGCGCCGAGGCCTCTGGAGGGATCTAGCGCGAAATGGGCCATTAAGCAGGGAATGGCGGCGGGGGGCGAGGGGGGGCGGGCTATTAACAGAACAAAGCTGGGGCTCCCCGCTGACACCCGGGTGTCGCCCACCGGCCTGGCGTGCCTGGGGAGTGGACCCGACCCCTCCAGGCTGCTCGGCCGCCGGACTGTTGAGCTAGGAGTTGAGCTCCCCTTTTCAGGATTGAAGGCACACAGCAACCCTCCCCAAGACGCAAGGAGGGCGCAATAATGCGATCAAGCAGAAGGGAGTGGTGATTTCCAAAGGTCGCTAAATAACCCCTCCCTCTCCGCTGGCTTCGGCTCCGAACTGTCACTACTTTGGGATGCCGGGACCTACAGGCGTCCAGTAGCGGGTCGGCCCCGTGCGCCCCGGAGCTGGGATGGGGGCGTGCCCCGCTCTGACTCCGCCGTTATCTCCCCGGCGCAGCCGCCGGCCGGCGGATGGCTCTTTAAGAAGCCCCTCGTTAATCCCCCACCCCCGCCTCTCCACACCCTGCCTTGGGGACACCCGTATTTCCTAGCCGGAGTAGGCTTGCGAATTTTAGACGGTGAAATGTAGCGAGGAAAGCAAGTCCTCATTGTTCAGCCAGAGCCACTCAGCCGTGTCCCCTCGAACAAATCTCCTTTTCTCCCTTAAAAAAAATGACATCCCTTGGGCGTTTTCATTTCAGGCCCTCACGTCTCCCGAGAGCAGTTCCTTCCCCTCCCCTGCTCTCCGATCTATTTTCCTTCCCTGCTGGCAAATCGTGCCAGACCCCCCCTCCGTCCCCCCCCGTCCCCCTCCCTCGGCCTCTGCCTACTCTTTCTCCTTTCCTTCCTGCCTACAGAGATAAGGCCGGGCCCACCCCCTGGCCGGCGCTGCCCACGCCTCCTCCAGGCTGGCCACCGAGGGGCTGCACACAGTCCTTTCCCTTAGCCTCTCAGCCCCCCACCCCAGAACAAAATCTGAATCCATTATGACATCTCCTGGCAAAACTCCCAAGCGGGAGAACCACTTTCTATGCACCCAGACCCAGGGGGAGGGGGCGGCGGGAGGGGGGCAGGGGCGCGCGTTCCTGAAGAGGAGGGGGCGCGTCGGTCCCCGCGTGGGGTCACTTCGCGTCTCCCACACGACCCAGCCTGACGGGCGGAGCGGGCGCCGGGGCAGCAGAGCCAGGCTGCCGCGTGGGGGCGCCGGGCTGCGGCTCGCGTGCCCGGACAGGGCGCCCCGCCGCTCCCTGCACGGGGCTCTCCGGGAGCACCGGCTCCGGAGGACAAGGCCCTTTCCGTCTGGTGTGTGTGTGTGGGGGGGATGTGAGCCTGGGCTTGGAGTGTGTGTGTGAGTGTGAATGTGTGTGCGTGTGACAGAGACAATGGAATAAGGTTAGAAAACCAGATCGAAGCACAAGGATCCACACCACCTCCCCGCGCCCCGCCGCGGAGTGCGGCCCCGCGCACGCTGCCCCCCAGCCCGGCCCCGCAGGACCCCGGTGGGGTCCTTCCACTCACCACAGATCTTCAGCCCCAGCTTCCGGGTGCATCCGTGGGCCACTCCGCACCAGGTGTCATAGGCTGAAAACAAGAGTGGGGGGGGGGAAGGTGCGGTTAGGGATGCGCGGGCAGACCGTGGGCGGCTGGCGGGGCCAGCGCGGGCAGGGGAGCTCTTCCTCGGCGCTCAATAAAAACTCTTTGGTGTTAGGGGGAAGGAGCCAGATCTGCGCGCCCCACACGCAGACCCGCGCCTTCCCAGCTCCAGGTGCGTTCCCTCCCTGCCCGGGGCGTCAGCTGCACAGCCCAGTTTCTGCAAGTCTGAAAGACGGGGCTCCCGGCGCCCACCAGGCTCCTAAGCGATCGCCGCCTGGCAGCCACCGAGATCCCAGTCGGAGCCGGGCGAAAGCTGAGCCCACGCCCGAGGGCCAGCCCCGGGCGCTCGAGTTGCTCAGCACCCACTGACCAGGCCCTGGCGTCTGGTCTGGGCCCCCCGACTGGAAGGGTGACCACAACAGCCCCGAAAGGGAACGGGCATCTGGGCCCGAAACGTCTCATAATTTCTTGGCAGGTCTCCAGCTGAGTGGCAGCTTAAAATAAACTGGCATGAAATGGGGTCGCAGAAGAGTTCAGGAATTAATTGGGTGAAAAATAGTATTTGACTAGATGATCGGGCTCGCATGGCTGCTCTTCAGTCCGGCGGGGGAGTCGGGAAGACAATGGCGGGCCTCGGGTTCTCGACCCAGGCCCCTCTTCCCCGCCTTTCCCCAGCCCTTTCCAGAGACAGCGCGGTCTGGAGCAGGAAGGCAAGCGGGAGCCTTTCCTCTGGGTCTCCATCTCTGGCCCAGGAGGGGTCGATTTTTCTTGAAGCCATCAGGGTTTAGGGTTAACTTGCCGCGTGTAAAGCAGACCTGTGCCTGAGAAGCCTGGGTGCAAGCGAGTGTGAAATCCTCCGCCATCCCTCAAAGCAAGGGCCTCGGAGCACCCCATCCCCCATCCCACCCCGGGTCTCCAGCGCGCACGGGGGCGGCCTGTGATAGGCAGGTGACGTCCATTCAACCTCAGGCACAACAGAGCCCCAGCGGGAGAATGAAAACGGCCTGACCTCCTCCCGGAAACTGCACACCACAGACGGAGTTCCACTGACAAGCAGGAAAACATTTTTTTTCCCCAAAAGCAAAACCCTAACAACAACAACAACAACAACACCTGGCACAAAAGGAGCTATTTCCACCAGATCATGTGCTCTTGATTTAAATATAATCTCATCAAATCTTCAAAACGGCTCCATTCAACCCACCGGGCAAGTGTTGATCTAACACTCCAAATGTCAAAAAAAAAAAAATCTGGGTTCAGAGAGGGTAAGTGAGTTCTCCAAGGTCACTCAGCAGAGATTGAAGTTCAGGCTCATTTCACAGCCTTTCAGAACGGGAGGTTAAGGTTATGGAGGAAAGTAAGAAAAACCGAGATGGAGAGTTCAAGAACCGGCCCCGTTGGTACAGCAGGATCCTAGACCACCAATGCAGGGGACTAGACGGATCCACATGCCACCCAGGGGTTGCTAGAGCAAGAGGGGAAGTACAGGCGCCCAGGTGCACAGGTGCAGCAAGGACATTTCCCAAGAGACTCTGAAGGAACCAGTAAGGTTCCAGGGTGTGTCTGCAGGGGGAGGGGGAGGAGGACCAAGCTTGGGGTGGATGAGTTCAGCCTGGGGGTGCTCACGAATATTTCTGGAGAAGCCTGCTTGCTCTTTCCAAGAAGGCTCCTCAGATTTCTCGCCTCTACCTCAGTAGTTTCCAGGCACTCCAGGCCGTATGTGGACTGGGCATCTGTGGACTGGGGCTGCCCATGGGAGAAATCTGGGTGTTCGTTGTTGGGGGACAGGGATCCCGGTGGACTAACGAATGTCACTGCTGCCCAGCCCGGCCAGTGCAGCAGCGAAACAAAAACCAGAAACAGAAACGGTGGTGGTTGGGAGATGTGGGGAGGACTGGAAAGAAATCTATCAAGGCCAAAGCGATAGACAAAAGACGAGCTGGCCTGGAGGTCCTCCCGAGTCTGCTCGGCCGCCCGTGTCCGGCTCACGTGCGCCGGGACTGGCCGCTTTCCCGAGCCCCTCTTTGTTGTGTGTGTGTGTGTGATTGCAGCTCGCCGAGGTGGCGCGAAGAGGGAGCTGCGAAGGCAACTGGAACGTCGCCTGAGCACTCGAGACCAGGCCTCCTGTCTGACCGTCGCTGCCAAAGGATTGGAGAGGAGCCCCTCCTAAGAACACCTCCTCGCCTTCCTGGAGGAGGGCAATTATCTCCTCCCGCGGACGGAAAGCGCCACAGAAGCTCAGCGACCAGCCTTTCCTCCGTTCTACACTATCTTCTCTAGGCTCCTCCTGAATAAAATCCGAATGCCCTTACTGTCTGGAGCTGGTGGATTTGGGGAGGGGGGATGTAAGGAGATACTACTTCCCTACCTGGAAAGACAAAAACAAATCTCTCATCCCCACGCCTCTGCAGAGAGGAACAAAGTTCAAATTAAAGACCCCAGAGCCGGGGAGGCGCACGGTGGGAAAGCCACCCCCATCTCTCCCTTTTATTCCTGTTTGTCCCCCGGCCCCAGGACTGGTACCTGCGGACAGCACTTTTGTCCAGGAGAAAGGAGAAGGGTGGTGTCTCCCCGCCACCAAACCTTTGCCTCCCCCGGGCTCCGCGCACCTCCCGCCACGCAAAATGTTGCCGCCCCCGCCGTGTCCTTTCTGCGTCTAAGATGGGATTAATTGTATGGAGTATGGAGGTGCCGTCTCCAGCAGTTTTCTGTACCTCTCCCGCCCCTGGGCTTCACCCTCCCTCGTCAGTAGCTCGACGCAAATGTGGAGCAATTAGGGGCCCTGAGTTTTCTAAAAGCTGCAATTAACGTCGAAATTTCCGTTGATTATAGACTTCGAGCACAGCTCTGGGGGGAGAGGAGGAGGTCCGATCTCAGCTCAACGAAAGCCGGGGACCGAGCACTCTAGTCCCGCTGGGACTCCCGGGCGCCTCTCGCCCCTCCCCTCCCCAGCCCCTTGTCATCCCGTCAGGAAAAGAAACAACAACACCGCACAACAAAACCCCGGCGCCGTGTGCGGGCGCCCCTAGCCCGCCGCGCCGCCCCCGGCGGCCGCCGCCGCCCGGCCCCGGCGTGGGCCTCGCGCTCCGGCGCCCGGGGAGTCACCCAGCGTCCCTGACAGCCAAATGACCTCTAGAGGGGAGCCTGGGCGAGAGCCCCATTTGTTTCCCAGGCTCCACCATGTCCTCGCTCCCCTCTTCCCTTTCCGACAGCGCAGCCTCGCGCCGTCCCAGCGCCCCCATCTTCCCTGCAGTCCATTTGATAGGAAACTGGGGCAGGACCTACTTGTGGGGCGCAGGTTGGTGGTATTGGGATCTGCTCCTGCGTTCGAGGAGGCTGCGGACGAAGAAGGGGTCGAGGACGCCATCAGCTCGATCGTCTTGGGGTGTCGAGTGTCAGGGGTCCTCCGGATGGGTCTGCGGGTGGGTCGCGAGCGGGAACAGGCTGCGAAGAGAAGCGAGAGCTTTATATAGGAAAGGCTCCCAGCGCACCGGAGCTGGCTGGGAGGCTGGAGGGAGGAGGGGGCGCAGAAGCTCCCCGAAAACCTGGTTGCGGGCGAGGGAAGAGAAGCGCAGTGAGCCGGCTGGGTCGGAGTGCGCGATCGGTGGGGGGGGGGGGAGGAGAGGGGAGGGGGCCGGGTGGAGCGGAGGGGATGATCGGGGGGGGGGGGGGGGAGACGCGGGCGCTCGCTCCCGCCACGCAGCCCGGGGCGGCTCTCCAGTCTGGCCGCGCGGTGGGGCGACCAGGGGAGACGCTGTGCAGGGGGGAGGGTGGCTGAAGGCCAGTGCAGGGCGCGTGTGGGGTGGTGAGGGTGTGGAGGGCCGGGCGGCGGAGCACCGGGGCGCCAGCGCTCGGGGCGCGATTTTCCAGCCCAGCCGCTACAAGCCCCATTGGGCTCGGCGCAGGGGGGAGGGCGCGGGGCGGGCACGTCTGCTCCGGTGTCTGGTTCGCGTTGTTGTGTCTGGCTAATTCCCTGGAAAGAAGGAGGCTCACGGGTCCCGGGACCTGGCACTTGGTGAGACAAGGTGAGAAGGGAGAGGAAACGGTTCCTAGCTTTCTGATTCTCCCTAGGACACGGCCGGGCAAGAACCAGAGTCACCTTGCACTCCAGACAGCCGAAAGCAGCCCTCGCTTGTTTGTCTCCGGTCCCAACCCTGTGTTGAGCCATTTCAAGCTCCGTCCCACTTTCGGGGGTTTCTCCTTTAGCTAGCCCTAAGGAGGGTGGAACACAACCTAAGGAGGGTGGGGAAGGTTAGAAACAAGATCACCACCCGGGAGGTCAGGGGGCGAATGAACTTGCGCCCCACCAGCCAGAGGCGGCGAACAAAGATGAGCGCGCGTCGCCGGTGCTGCGCGCTCGGCGCTGGAGCCATGGCGTCCAAAGGCTCCGGGATTGAGCGAGAGAGTGCAGGCGAATCTGGGGAGATCTAAGATCCCCCCTTCCCACAAAGAAAAGCCCCGCAGCCACGGCCTGCACCCCTCGCCTTCGGGCCCCACACCTGGTCACGGGCGCGCACTCTCGCAGCCACGCGGACGGCAGGGAGAACCGCTCTTGGGGAAGTAACAGGTTATCGCTCCCAGCGGCACCTTGGGCGGCTGGCTGCCCGGGGCGCTTTGGGGAGAGCCGGGCGCGCGGTCGCTCCCGTCTCACTTCAGCTCGGATCTCAGCTTCCTTGAGTCCTCGGGGGCGGGGTGGGGTTGGCACAACACCGCCGACAAAGAGAGAAAGAGATCGGGGAGCCGGCGGCCCCGCGCGGTGCCGGAGCCGAGACCCCGGACTGGGGCCGGCGGGGAGCGCTGGACGGCAGGCACCGGGGGTTCGGGCGGGCCGGGAAGCCGAGGGCGGGCAGCCGGCAGGTCGCGCGGTGACCCACCTCGGCTCGGCGACCCCGAGCTGGACACTCCCGCCGCTCCTCTGCGTAGCGTCCAGCGATCCACCCGGCTGGGCTCGGCTCGGCCACTGGCGTTTATGTCCCGTGTCACCTCCAGCTGCTTCCTGACCAGTGCCACCCCTTGTCCGGCACCCGAAAACCTGGAGGAGACGAGAGAGACCCGGAGAGGCGGCCGCTGGGCTCCGGGGGAGGCGGGGGCGGAGAGGGGAGGCGGGGACCCGCGGGGCGGGGGAGTCACGAGGCCGCTGCTCGCGGGGCCGCTGGTCCGCGGGGCGGCGGGGATCTGTTGAGGGTGCCCGCCAGCCTCCCGAGCTTTATGGGGCGATTATAAACCCAGCTCACGGTTTTTGCGCCCTGGGGGTGGTGGGAGGTCCTATGAGTAATCCAGAACGTACGCACGTACTCAGCGCTCTCTCTCTCTCTCTCTCTCTCTCTCTTTCTGTCTCTGTCTCGGTCTATCTCTCTCATAGGGTGTCCGATGAGAGAAGGGAAAAGATAATTCCTAGGAACATTTCAGTGGAGCGTTTCTTCTTTCCTTCTATCTTTCTCTCCCTCCCACCCCATCTTGGAGGAGAATGGATGAATGGCTTTGCCTCAATTCATTTCCCAGTACTTTCCCTGGATCTGCGACTCTGCAACGCTTCCTGGAGCGAAACCCGCTCAGAGTGGTGTCTTGGCTGGTCCGATCAGGGTTGATGTAAGGGCAGAGCGGGCAGAGTCGAGGGGGGACCGCTCAGGGGCCATCTCCCCACTCCTGTTTCCTTATCCAACTCGAGTCATGCCCAAAGTAGCTTATCTGAGCATTGCTACCTGGTGCCACTGGCGGAAAAGGGGCCTCCATTCTTTTTTTTCCTCAATGCTCTCTCTCCTGATTGATCACGTCTGAAGGTTAATACCACGCACGAGTGCCACCAGCTCCACGCGCCTGGGGACCCAGAGCGCAGAGGCGGCCCGGGAAGGGCGGGCTGGGCCTCCTCTCCGGTGCTCACTCGCTTTCCATTTCATGGCTTTTTAAAGATTCTCCCTTTGAAATATTTCAGCATGTTAACGCATCGCTGCCTCGGGTAAGGTCCCTTACGGTTAAAAGAAAAGGCGTTGGCGAAAAACTTCCCACCAGAGGGCGCCAAGCACCCAGAGACCGAGGTTTCTGTGCTCACCAGGTCTGTCCTCCCGAGTCCCAGCCTACACCTGGAACGGGGGCCCGGCTCGCTGACTCGCCTGTCCTTTCCGTTTTTGCGCTCTGCTTTTCTCCCCCTCCCCCTCCGTTCTCTTTAGGGCAAATCAAAGTTGATTTTGTGCGTGTTTGAATGACTCAGTACTCAGTGATTCCTTTTCTTGTTTTCACAGTGATTCCCCCCCCCCCCATCTTGTTTCCTTGCAGCAGTCCGGGGTTATTTATGCACACGTCTGGGGCCTCGCTAACGTTTCCCAGGCCTGTCCCTCCTCTCTGACTATCCTATCAATTTCCTCCTCATCACAGTGGAAACACCCCAAATCTACTAAATCGTCCCAAATTTCTATAAGAGATATTAAAATTTCTGCGAAGATGCAGTCGGAACAAAAGAGACCTCCTCACAGTGAGGCTTGAAATATCAGTATTGCTTTGGATAGGAAAGCAAATACTATCGCTTCCTCTGCACCTTACAATAAAAGCCCCCGGCACTTTTTAAGTTTCCAAAAACATTCTGATGGGAGAGTGCATAGTAGCCACAATCTCCCTTCCCCCACCAGAGCTCCCAGGTTGGTAAGGCATTGCATAAAGGGTGTGTGTGTGTGGTGTCGGTTTTGCTTTCGGGGTTGGGAGGAGTCCCCTCAAACTACTCACCAGGTAGCTACTCAGAGCTGCTTTGAAACGCGCACCCACTCCCTATCCTCTGGTCTTCCCTGAGAGACATGGTCGCGCCAGTCAGGAAGCTGGGTGCTTAATGGTTGGAGACAAACCCAAAGGGAGATAGGAGAGAAGATGCAGCACATCTTCATGCCCCTAAATATCCATCGTCTCACCTCAGTGCCCTCTGGTCCCATGGCTTCTACCTTCTCCCAGGAGTCAGTATTCTCTGGAAAGGAAGATGCGTTTACTTCACTTGTGCCACTCGATTGAGAATTTCCCATCACTTTTTTCTTTGACTGCAGAATCTAAAACAACTGCCTAAGGTTTTAGCCAAGAAAGAAATTTTAGGGTGAGTCTTCTATTCCAACTAGGTATTGCAAATGAAAATTGACTCAGTCTACTTCTGAGTACATCTTTATTCTCTTTTGTGGTGGGGAGGGAAGGAATACAGACTCCTCAGCTTTCATTTAAAATGTTAGTAACTAATTAATTAAGTGGGTATTTATTGATGACCAACTGTGTGTCTTCACTGCTCTACTAGGAGCACACATTGTCCCTTCAATTTATATTAGCCTTGAACTCAAGGGGTGACACTCTAATGTACCAAGTAGAGTAGTACTTCATAATTTATGACTTAAGATTTAATTTCCAATCATCTCCCACTCCAAATCAGACGCTTGGGCTTTGCAAGGGTGAGGGATTGAGGGCGTGGAGTGGAAATCTTGTTCCAGCACATCAACTTTGAGGCAGGACACAGATTTCAGCACCAAGGACAGCACCTGCCCTGCGTGCTGTCCTTCACCGCTACATCCTGCCTTCCCCCCTCTTGGCAATAATTGCTATGTTTATTTTGCCTGGTATGAGGAGGTGGTAGAATATTTTGCCCACTTCTCTCTGCCCATAAGAATTTGGACTGAATGTGGCTACAGTTGTTTGTTTACTCTTCAAGGAGCAATACGTCTTTATATGTGGTTTTTCCTCTCTTTGTATCTTAATATTCCCGGGGGCGAGGATGCTGATGGCTAACGGGGGTGGAAAAAAGACATCCTCTCCAAGGACTAGAGCCTGTGGTGAGGGGTGGTCCGGAAGAGAGTGGCGTGTGCCCAGCTGTATTTGTATTTGATCTAAGGTTTAGCGCTTTGAAGAAATGGAAAAGCAGGGGTGGGGATGGGGGAGAGAAGGGGGGGAGTGAGTATGTTGTCCCTTAAGTCTCTCCTCTCTCTCTCTCTCTCTCTTCTCCCTCCCTCCTTCCCTTTCCCTCCCCTCCTCCCCCCCTCCCTTGGGTTAGGGGTTTATCCAGGCTACTTGTTTTGTCTGCCAAGGTCAGCAATCCCTGATTTCCTCCAGGGCTAACACTAGGGGACACCATTCTCTGCCCTCAATGTCCCCTCCCCCCGGGAGGTTTAAAGCTGCTCCAAATGTGTATTTGGGGCCAAGGATTTCTCTCCAAAGAAAATAGCTGGTGAGTGGAAGGGGCATCTACACTGGCTTCCAGGGAGATTTTTTTTTACTTAATATGGTCTGTCGAGTTGAGCAGATAAGAGACGTCATTATTTTATGCACTTAGGACATTTAGCTTCCAGGAAAGATAATTTAGAGTCACAGTGATGTCTCATACCAGCTGGATTTTTAAGTCTATTTTAAGTATCAAATTTATAACCAAAAGAGCTGGAGGGGGACAGGGGGAAGAGGCAGTCCTCATGATTTAAATGTCTGTCTTTGGAGACTGAATTGGAGGGAGGAGTTGTTTATCCTTCTTTCTGCCTTTCTTGAGTCAGAGCCCATGTCCATTTGCTATGTTTTTGTACTTCAAAGACAGTTTCTCAAATAGTGCTGGATTTCCATGGCCAAACGATAGCTTAACTCCTACCCTTATCCTAACAGAGTACACAAAGGTTACTTCTGGCATGAAGGAGAGGATTAAAAGGGAGGTAGAATTGTAGCCAGAACATGAAGTTACACCCAGTCCTTGAAGAGACTTGTATTGTTCAATTGCCAAAATGCTTCTTTTCCTTTGACATTCAGAAGGTGAACATAGTGTAACACAAAGAAATTAATCAAGGAGCGTGATGCAAATCTCCCTGTGCAAATCTTAAAACGCTTCCAGTTCTTGCTATTTCAAACATGTACAGAGTGACCACCAGGTGGCAATAGATTACAACACCTGAGAGGAAACAACGGGCCGCTGATGGAACCATTTTTCAAGGATGCATACAGACTGTTTCTATTTCACAATCATCCCTGCCATTTTTCACAAAGCAGGGAGCAGGGTCTTTTAAACTGTTGAGAAATTCTCCATTGATGAAAGAGGAAGCCATGACATCCATTTTTTTCCCACACAACAGTATCCTTAAGGTAGCTTGAAGAAGTGGATCCTTTGGTATTAGGTCTAGAAATTGTTTCATTACAAACTGAAAAGCAGGAATACAGATCTGGATTACATTTCTCATAGGGAGCTTTAAAAGGTGCTTTATTTTCTGCTTTCAGTCAATGAAAGCTAAGGGGAAACAAGCCCTTTCCCAAAAGAATGGGATGTTCAAAGAGGATTTTCAACGTCAGATTGTTTTTTTTAATTGTCAGATTGTTTTATTAGGGAAGTAGAGTATTAAATGGAAATCTATCTATCATCTATCTAGCTATCTACATCTATCTATCTACTATCTAGCTAGCTATCTATAGTATAATCTAGTAATTTTCTCCATTTCTTTTAGTGGAAAAGTCTTCAACTTAAAAGAAATAATAGACATTTAATCTTATGGTAAGACTTAGAGGTCTGGGACTACTTTTTTAAAACTTTATTGTTATTGTAAATGTAATGTACAGAGGCATGACAGTTATATAAGTCAGATAAAGAGTACATTTCTTTTTGAACACTGTCATTCCTTCCCTCCCACTCTCCCAGTTTTTCTCTCCTCTCCCAACCCACAAGTTCTATAGTTAATTTTCAACATAGTGTCTAGTAAGTATCACGCCTGAATTTGTTTCCCTTTCATCCCACCATTTCTAGGTCCCCTTTACTCTCCCAAAGACAGATAAATGAACAAACAAGACAAAAGGAAATGAAAGCAGCAACAAAGGAAAAAAACCCTCTTGTAGTTCTAGAAGATTTTGAGTTAGTTGTGGAGAATCTAGTAACTTAGCTCAGGTCATGTTTCTTCTCAAATCAGTCAGTTACTCAGAAGAGAAGGCTAGAACCTTAACAGAAGGGATTTATCACAGTCCTTTCTTTGTGAAGACCTTATATGAAAGAAATCACAGGAACTTAATCACTACGGTGGGTTTCCCCAACAGAGTCACAGTGTAATTCTATCTTACTCTCAATTGGGGGAATAAAATTCTGTTTTCTTTGTCTACAAATGAGCTGAAGATCCCTTTATTTAGCCTTATGGACTCTGAACTTATTTTGAAGATTAAATGGGAATCGTTAACTTCTTACTGGAGTTATCAGTATACTGTGTCCATTCCTATTTTTTATTTTTATTGTAAAGTGATGTACAGAGGGGCTGCAGTTACATAA